GAAATGAGTTCTGGTAGTTTCACTTCCAATCCACCTCCCAGGTAACGTGCCTGGAGAAGCAACGAAGATCACTCCTGTCTTTCAGTGCCTGCACCTGTGTGGGAGACCCAGATAAATTTCCTAGCTCCTGGCTTCAGCATGACTCAGCCCTGACTGTTGCAATCATCTGTGGAGTGTACGAGCAGATGGAAGATTCCCCTTTCACTCTGTCTCTCCCTTTATTTTTCTGTAACTTTGCCTTTTTATATGGATAAATGTGAAAAAAAATTTAAGGAGCTGAAATGAACCAGATGCATCACTTTTTTGTACTTCTACATGCTACTAGGTAAGGATATAATATTCCAATTCTACCATGTGAGGACATGGCAAGATGGTACTTGACAGATGAGAAACATACATTTTCTCTTGGACTTCCCAATCTGCAGAACTTGAAAACAAACAACTCAATGAATAAGATGGACTCCTAATAACCTGCTCAGTTTGAGCTGACTATAAAACAACTGTGAATATAGAAAATAAAAGTCAAGGGATGCTTGGGAAAGGACTGTCCACTGAATGTGTTTCTCACTCTCTAAACAGGTGCATCACCCTCAGCAGAGGCCTTGTGGAAAACAGCAGCCAGACCCTATCCCCTTCCAGCTTGGGCAGTGTCAGCAGAAGAATCCTGGGGAATATTCACTCTCATTCTCATTCTGCAGTAATGAGATAGCCACAGGCTAAGTGCCGGAAACGACTTCAACCACTACCTGGCAGTCATGATGCAAAACTCCCTTTTCACCACCGACACAGCATACTGAGGTGTCTAATGGAAAACTACTCTACATGCCAAGAATGAGGAATATCTCAAGTTGAATGAGAAATGATAATCAGCAGACATCAAGGCTAAGATGAAAACTGGTCAGAATGATCTGAAAAGGGTATTAACAAAACCAACATAAAATGCTTAATGAACAAATTATTAATACATTTGAAAAATGCTAAAAGAATAAAACAGGAAACCTGTGCAAAGAAATAGGAGACGTAGGACATGGCGCAATGACTCAGTGGCTAATCCTCCACTTTTAAGTGCTGGGATGCCATATGGGCACTGGTTAATGGCCCACTGCTCCTGGCATCCCATCCAGCTCCCTGCTTGTGGCCTGGGAAGGCAGTCAAGGACAGCCCAAAGCCTTGGGACCCTGCACCCATGTGGGAGACCCAGAAGAAGCTCCAGGCTCCTGGCTTCAGACCAGCTCAGTTCTAGCCATTGTGGCCACTTGGGGATTCAACCAGTGGATGGAAGATCTTTCTCTCTGTCTCTCCTCTGTGTAAATATGCTTCAAATAAGAATAAATAAATATTAAAAATGATATGTCTTCATAAAAAAGAAATAGAAGACATGGAAGAAACCCAAATAAATATTTGAATTGAAAGGTATGATACTGAATTCCAACACTCAGGGAAAGAGGTCAGATGCAGATTGCAGAGACACAAAGGATAAAAAAACTAAAGACAAAACAAAAGAAATTATCTAATTTAAACACCAAAGGAAACTAGGCTGAAGAAAAATAAACAGAGTTTCAGGGACCAGTGTAACCAAAACCCATGTCATTTGTACGAACAAAAATCAGAACAGGGAGAAGAAAAAGGGCAAAAACAAAAAGTAGTCAGGAAAACAAGGACATTTGCCTGTACTCATAAAAATATATAATAACGTATTCAAGAGCCTAATTAATTCTATACAGAAAAAAAACCTAACAAAACCCATGCCAAAATACATCACAGTCAAAATTGTGAAAACTAAAGACAAATATCATTTATTGAAAGCATGGAGCTAGAAACAACACATAGAAAACAAATGTGCTGGCATGGTGGCTCAACTGCCAAATCCTCCCCTTTGACAACTGCTGGGATCCCATATGGGCACCAGTTTGTGTCCTGTCTGCTCCACTTCCCACCCAGCTCCCTGCTATGCCCTGGGAAAGCAGTAAAGGATGGGCGAAAGCCTTGGGACCCTGCACCAACATGAAAGATACAGACATTTCTGGCTTTGAATCCACTCCAGTGGCCATTGGGGGCATGAACCAGCAGATCTTAAGAGAGAGAGAAAAAGAAAGAAAGAAAGAAAGAAAAGAGGGAAGGAAGGAAGGAAAGAGAGGGAGGGAAGGAGGAAGGAAGGAAGAAAGAGAGAAAAGCATTCTGATCAGAAGGAAATACTGCCATCTATAACAACTGATAAAATAAAATAATAGAAAACCGTACATGATTATATTAATGGATTTACCTTTATATGTAATTTGGATTTTACATTTACATTTCTGCATACAAGAAGTTAAGCAGGCAGAGAAATCTCTTAGGATTCCTTTCTCTGAAAATGTCTTGATGTCCCGTCATTCCAAAAGAAATTTTTGATGGTTAGACAATTTCTGTATTAGGCCTGTATAGTGGACCTCAGGTTGAGATGCACATTGGAGTAGAATTCTCTTTTGAGTCGCAGCTGATCAGGTTTCAATCAAAACAACTGCGAATGCACCTTACAAAAGCAGTGGAGTGGGGCTCAACCTCCTGCATCTCACCCACACAGGTGGAAAGGTGAAAGGCAGGATAGAGTTCCTGCCTCAAGGCTTGTGCCTGACTCATCGCTGTTTTGCACGTATCTGTATAATGCACTAGTATTTGCAAGATATATCTTTCCTTGATGGTCTCTCAGACTATCACTTAAGGAATCATGTAAAATATAGAAAGGCAAAAAAAAAAAAGAAAGAAAGAAAGAAAAGAAAGAAACAAACCAACCAACAAACAAAAAACCCAGAAAGTTCAGAACCAGAGCAAAGACTGCAGAACATGGCCAGAAATATAAAAAACATGGTGATTATGTATAATAAAAGCACTTATATTTCACAAAGAGATATAACAAATACAGGAACAGAGCAGAGGATTAGCAGGAAAATCCATGGAGCTAGGAAAAACAAATTCTAATTGGAAAAACTCAGAATGCACACCACTGTATAAAAACGTGGTGTCTGATGCATTAGATTCTGTTGCATTAGAACAGAATCTATTGCCATGAATGCATCTAGCGTTCTGAATCTGCCAACAAGAAATGGCAGATAGCTCTGGAAGCCAGCATTCCCACTGAGACAAAGTGGATGTGATAATAAAATAAAAAATAATAGGGCCCGGCGCAGTGGCGCAAGTGGTTAAGGTCCTCGCCTTGCATGCCCAGGATCCCATATGGGCGCCGGTTCTAATCCTGGCAGCCCCGCTTCCCATCCAGCTCCCTGCCTGTGGCCTGGGAAAGCAGTCGAGGACGGCCCATAGCATCGGCCGTTGCGCTCACTTGGGGAGTGAATCGTCAGATGGAAGATTTTCCTCTCTGTCTCTCCTCTCTGTACATTCGCCTTTCCAATAAAAAAAAAAATTAAATAAAATAAATCTAAAAAATAAAATAAAAAATAATAAAATCGAAAAAAAAATTAAAATTGCAACAAGTAAAACGTGCCATCGCTTTCAATGCAAAAGCACAAAGTGTTCCCTTCAGAAAAGTTATCTGATGCCGAGTTAAAGGTGAGCAGTGCGCAGAGACATGTGGGGCATATTTGGGGTGGAACGGTCAGGAAGGGAAAGGTGGAAGGGAGAGAAATGCTTCTACCATCCCTCCTGTTGCAAGGTGTGTGGTGGGGGGAGAGAAAGAACCGCCTTCCACGTTGCCACTCTTCATGTGACCTGGGCTGGTATCTTCATCGGCTTCATGATACCAGCCCAGATGCAGGGGGAGGGGAAGTAGGTTCCCGTGATTGAGACATGGGCAGGGGGGTTTCAAAGAGCAGAAGCAGTGTGGCTTGCATCTTGGGACCCTGTGTCAGCGACCTAACTGTCCCACGTCATTCCCCTTCAGGGGGCTATGACGCTCAGGTTGCCTGCAGGGAGCAGAATCATCAGCTCTTGTGTAGTTATTTCCTGCTCATTGGGACATGGGCCTTGAAAACCATGCGGTTGGGGTTTGAAACTCTATCTCTTGGAATGAATTCTCTCATGGCCTAGAGATCTGCTACTCCGTGCCGTTGGCTGTGTCCCCTCATCTTCATCATCACTCTGAGCTGTCCTGGGCTTTGTGGCCCTGGTGGTGAGGCCAAAACCAAAACATTGGTGGGGGCAGCAATGTTGAGGCCTGAAGCTCGGTCCCACACAAGGGACAGAGTCAGGAGTTGTACGGGTGGAGAACGTGCAGATTTCTGGTTGAGGGAGGCTTGGAGAAGTACAATGGGGTGGTCTAGTTTTGAAAGGGAATATTAGGCAGATAATAAAAAGGCACGAGACTCTCCAAAGCTGAGCCCATCCATGCATGAGCAGAAGCTAGTGAGGTCAGCGCCAGAGAACCACCTCAACTCGGAGGGCTGCTTGGGTGGGCAGGGGTGTGGCTCGTGGGTGGGGCCTGTTCGGCCACCTCCTTCTGCCCCAGGCAGCATCACGGCTTCTGCTTCTGAGGGAGTGGGCTGGTGAGGAGAGCCTGAGCCCGCCCCGCCTCCCGCCTCCTGCTTCCCGCCTTCCGGCCCCTTGCACCATCTGGGGCCTCCCGCCTTCCGCTTCCCGCCTCCCGCCTCCTGCTTCCCGCCTTCCGGCCCCTTGCACCATCTGGGGCCTCCCGCCTTCCGCTTCCCGCCTCCCGCCTTCCGCTTCCCGCCTCCCGCCTTCTGCCCCCTGCACCCTCTGGGGCCTCCCGCCTTCCGCCTCCCGCCTCCCGCCTCCCGCCTTCTGCCTCCCGCACCCTCTGAGGCCTGTTGGTGCGCAGCAGGACCCAGCTGGCCGCCAAGTGGGTCGGGGTGCTTGTGGACAGGCCGCTGCCCGAGGTGAGCCGGAGCGCCCCCAGCCCAGCCTTCCCCTGAGGCCCAGGCACCAGCGGGAGACGCGGGAGCCGCAGCAGCAGCAGAGGCAGCAGCGGGAGCAGCGCCACCCCGCCAAGGCGCCCGCCCCGGCGGCCATCACGCGGCCCAGGCCCGGCCACGCCACAGGCCCGCACCATGCGCCTCACCCTGCAGGCCGGCCCGCAGCTGACCTTCCAGGTCGACGTGGACCCCGAGCACACGGTGAGAGCCCTCAAAGAGAAAATCGAGCTGCAGCAGGGCAGGCACGCCTTTCCAGCGGCGCAGCAACGGCTGCTGTATGCCGGCCAAGTCCTCCAGGACGGCGCTGCTCTCAAAGACTACCACCTGGATGAGCACACAGTGGTAGAGGTGCTGCTGGCCGAGCCCAGCGCAGCTGCCACTGCAGGGCCGGCCGTGCCCAGGGCCACGGCCACCAGCATGGCCACGGGCACAGACACGGCCACGGGCACAGACACGGCCACCAGCACGGCCACGGCCACCAGCACGGCCACGGCCACCAGCATGGCCACAGCCACCAGCACGGCCACGGGCACAGACACGGCCACAGCCACCAGCACGGCCACGGGCACAGACACGGCCATGGGCACAGGCAGGGGCGAGCAGTCACAGCCTGCCCCCTCTGCTGCCCTGGCGTCCAGCCCGTGGGCAGCTGCAGCTCAGGCCCCAGCGCCTGGCCCTGCCTGGGCGGCCACCTCCAACATGGCGTCTGCCCAGCCCGCCGCACTCGCTGCCCCTGCGCCTGAGCCACCTGCACCACAGGAGGCACCCGCGCCAGGTGCCGCCCTCCCAGCAGCCAGCGACGAGGCCACCGCAGGACCCTTGTCCGGCCCCACGTCCTGGGAGCACGGGGCAGGTGCCCTGGTGTCAGGCCCAGCCTACGAGCAGTCCATCACGGACCTCGTGTCCATGGGCTTTGAGCGACGGCAGGTCCTGGCAGCCCTGAGAGCCAGTTACCACAACCCTCACCGAGCCGTGGAGTACCTTCTCGAGGGAATCCCTGCACACACAGAAGGGCGGGCCGCGCACCAGCCCCCTGCAGCCGCGGGCCGCAGAGCTGCTGGCTCACCAGCAGACGCTGCGTGGACAGCGGCGGCAGAGGCTTTGGCATCTTCTACCAAACACCTGCTGGACTTTCTCAAGACTGGCTCTGGCCCTGCAGGCCTGGCTCAGGGCCAGCAGGGCTCCAGCGAGCTGACAGCCCAGGAGCTAGAAGCTATCGACAGGCTGAAGGTCCTGGGCTTTCCTGAAGCACTGGTGAGGCGAGCGTATCTAGCTTGTGACAAGGACGAGGAGCTGACGGCCAATTTTCTCATCGAGCACTACCTGCAGGAGGACTAAAGGGAACTCTTGTGTGCTGCATCCGTCCCCCCTCTGCATGACACTGACCTTGGTCTTGGGTGGTCCTCGCTGACTGCTGCTCTCCACATTTGGCATCTGGTTATAGATGCTAGGGCTTTGAGTCGAGTGCTGGTTACCCAGGGCAGGGATAGGCACGTGGTGGGTCTGCCTCTGCAGCAGGTGCCACAGGTCCCCACCGTGGGTCCCCCAGGATGCAACCAAAACCTGCTTTCGCTGCTGTGCATTTCTATGGGAACGCATTCAGGAACTTGTCCTGAGTGTTCCTCTTGTCAGTAGACTGCCTCCACAACTGTGTCCTGGCCTCCCTCCCGTGCTAAAACACTGGGTAACCTCTCCTGAGTTTGTGGCTCACTGGCCCCCAGCCAGGCTTGCATCTCGTCTGGATTCCTTTGGTCAAGCCCTCGGTCGCCTGTGCTGGCTTCCCCCGTTGTCGGTGGACTGCAGCCACACTTGGGTTTTGTCCTGACTGCGGAGATGACTCGCTGCGTACCTTCTGGGTTTCCCTGTAGTCACTTGCCTCCCTCCCCACCCATGCAGTGTACTGCCCCGTTTCCATCTTCCCTACACGTTGCTTTTTGCAGTCACTGCTCCCTCGAGGGCAGTTTGTCTCTGTTTCACAGCAACACTAGGTAACGGCTTGGTGAAACTGCCAAAAATAATTTGCAAGCACAAGAAACTGTGAGTGCTGCTTCTGGTGAGAATAACGTAGAAAGCAGCCCATCCCTCTTATCTCCTACTTGGTGTGTGAACGAGAGAAATAGAAGCTCTTTGAATTCAATGTGAAACCCTGCCAAAGAGACAGAGAAACTGTACATGAGTAGGCAAAGTTTTGTGCTGCTCAATGTTTGCTTGTTTTCCTGGTTTTTTTTTTTTTTTTTTAATTTCCTGGAGATTGGGTATGCATTTTTCTGTACCCGCTAGTCTTTTTGAAATACTGTTTGCAAACCACCTGTGTGTAATGGTGCTGCTTCTCCTGAGTTTGATGTGTGGGGAAGCTCTTTCTTGCGCCTCTCACACTTGGGTGGGCAAAGGGAGAAAGGCAATTGTCGTTTGAAGAAGAGTTGTGCGCGTGAGAGCGCTGTTGGTGTTGAAAATGTCCTCACTGTGTTGACTGTGAGACCCTTCTGGCCTGATGGAGGCAGTGTACGTGGGCAGGCCAAGTCATGTTGCCGTCTTCATTATTGCTTGTTTCTCTTGCGGGGAAATGGGTACATGCCTGCTTACTGTGTACCTGACATGTTTATGGCAATAAAGTTTGGAAGCCACCATTGCCTGTTTGCTTGGGACATTTCCTTTTGAATAGAGCGCCTTTGGGACCCCTGGGGGAAATGCAGCCTTCCTGGTCCACAGTGCTCTCCAGCCCTTTCCCCAGCAAGGTCATGTTTAGGAGCAAGTCCTGCCGAAATTAGTACCTGCTCCCATATGGGATCTTGATGCTATCATGGCAAGGACTTTAGTCGCTACGCTGTCACATGAGGCCCAATATTTGGAGTTTTTACTTCCTTATATGAAAAGCTTGGTCCCAGGGATAGCCAGAGGAAGGGACAGTTGTATCATCCGTTTATTGTTCATTCCCCCAATGCCTGTACCTGTTGGGTCTGGCCTATGCCAAAGCCAGGAGGGAAAAATTCTATCTGGATGGGTACTGAACGAAAACTCTATAAATAGGCAAAAAAAAAAAAAAAAAAAAAAAGAAGAAGAAGAAGAAAAGCAAATGTTTTTGCAGTTTAGAGCTAGGGTAGGAGAGAGAAAAGCCCTGAGCAGTAGGCAGAGAAGTACTGTTGGGTGACAAAAATGTAAAATTCAATTTTGGTACCATATGCACACCTTTGTGAATTCACTACAAACTACTGAATTGTTACTTCCCCACAGTGCATCTTATGATACATGACTTTTATCTCACAATGCTGTTTTTTTTTTTTTTAAGATTTATTTATGGGCCCGGCGGCATGCCCTAGCAGCTCAAGTCCTGGCCTTGAACGCACTGGTATCCCATAAGGGCGCCGGTTCTTTTTTTTTTTTAAGAGCACCGGTTCTAATCCTGTCAGGTCCACTTCCCATCCAGCTCCCTGCTTGTGGCGTGAGAAAGCAGTGGAGGACGGCCTAAAGCCTTGGGACTCTGCACCCATGTGGGAGACCTGGAGGAAGTTTCTGGCTCCTGGCTTTGGATCGGCGCAACACTGGTCATTGTGGATACTTGGGGAGTGAATTATCGGATGGATGGAAGGTATTTCTCTCTGTCTTTCCTTCTCTGTATATCTGACTTTGCAATAAAATAAATTGGATCCTTGTTGCACCAATCCGAAGCCAGGAGCCTGGAGGTTCCTCCAGGTCTCCCATGTGAGTGCAGGGTCCCAAGGCTTTCTTTGGGCCGTCCTCAACTGCTTTCCCAGGCCACAAGCAGGAAGGTGGATGGGAAGTAGAGTTGCTGGGATTAGAACTGGCACTCATATGGGATCCCGGCACGTTCAAGGCGAGGACTTTAACTGCTAGGCCACCAGGCCATGCCCAACAATGCTGTTTCTTTGAAGAGATTTATTACTATTTTATTTTTTATTTGAAAGGCAGAAAGAGGGAGAAAGAAATCTTTCATCCACAGGTATATGTTCAAATGACTGCAACAACCAGCGCTGGACTAGCCTACAGCCAGGAGCTAGGAACTCCATCGGAGATTCTCATAGGGGTGGCAGGGGCTCAAGAACTCAGGCCATTGTCCACTGCCTGCCCAGGTAAAGTAGCAGGGAGTTAGATAATCAGTAGAGCCTCAGGAGTCAATCCCGAGCTCAGTTACAATTGGGACATCAGTGGACATCTGTTCCTGTTTCTCAGATAAAATCATTTAAAAATGCTTATTTTAGCGAAAATGTTCAGACTGATGGGTTTTCATAATGGTTCCACAAACTTTTTAAACATGTGTTTATATTCGTTTATTTATTTATTTTTTGAAAAATATATCAACAGAGATGGAGAGACAGATCTGTGCGGTATTTCACTCTCCCCTATGCCTGAAATAGGTAGGACTGGACCAAAGTAAACTCAGGAATCCAGAAACTCCATCTGTATCTCCCATTTGTGTGGCAAGGGCCCAAGAACTTGAGCCCTCACCTGCTGCCTCCCCAGGTGCATTAGCAGGAAGTTGTACTGGAAGCAGAGTAGCTAGAACTGGAACTAGCACTCCGGTAATGGAATGCTAATGTTAGAAATAGCGGTTTAAGCCAGTGGGCCAAATTACCAATCCCTGTGAACTTTTTAACCTATTTATATAGGAAATTTTCAAAATTGAACAGTTAAATAAATCAGTCTAACTAAAAAACGAAGAGAGGATGTAAAGAGACATTTCACCAAATGGGATACCTGGACAGCAAAAACAGACATGGTCACATGTTGTCTGTTATTAGCTTTCAAGTCACTGCAAACTCATGTCGGCCTCAGGGTTCCTCCCTGGATAAAGCCAAGATGGGGGAAGTGAGGTAAGTCAGAGCTGGGGGAAGTATAGCAATGGAAGGATGAATGAAGAGATGAGACATGGTTATTACTGTGTCTCAGGCTAGATCCTGTCTCAGAGCTCCGTACAACACGAACCTGCAAATGCCAGCCTATCAGCTAGGAAAGAGGTCACCCGTGGAAGCCAGAGAGGCCCACGTGGCTTTAGTCCCAATCTCTACATTGTTGACTGGCATGACCAGGTTAGCTGGGCATGCCATACCTTTCCTGTAAAAAGTCAGCTAATAGGTACCTTAGAATTTTTAAGCCAGATGGTCTCTTTAGCAACCACTCGATTCTGCCATTGTAGCTTGAAAACGGTCACAAAAATATGTAGATGAATGGATGTGGCTGTGTTCCCATAAAACTTTATTGAACGCTGAAATTCAAACTGCATATAATTTTCTGCTATCCCAAACTTTCTTGTTGTGACTTTTTTCAAGGACTTCAAAATAGAAATGGCATTCTTAGCTCATAGAATATAAGATAACACCATGGGTCAGCAAACTAAGTGTTCAGAACTTAAAGAGGTTGTAATGGAGTATTGTACAAGTGACAATACTAGAATTACAATGCAGTGATGTTTAAATCCATAAACCCTTTTGAAAAAGATTTATTTATTTGAAATGCAGAGAGACAGATCTCCCATCTACTAGTTCATTCAGTAAAGGGTCACAACAGCCAGGGTGGTCCAGGCCAACCAAAGCTGAAGCCAGGAGACAGGAGCTCCACCCACACCGCCCAGCTGGGTGACAGGGCTCCAAGGACTTGAGTCGTTTGCTCTACTGCTTTCCCAGGTATATTAGTATGGATCCTGTTTTATATTGTGTATCTTCAGAGTTGCAACCTTCAAAGATGAATTCTAAAAAAATGGTCCCCGTTTCAAAAAAAAAAAAAAAACCTTTTTAAATGCTCATTCTCGTCCCCAACCATGGTAAGTGAAAGGCAACCCCCCGCCCCCCGTAAAAAGTTAAGATTACAGGACGACAAGCGACAAAACGATAGAGTGCCTTCCTTACAGATGAGAACCGCTTAGGTTTTGCCGTTTATACTGAACGCTTCACTCCCTAGCGCTACACGCACCTGCGCATTCCATCACCCCTAGAACCCGCCAAAACCCTCGTTGCCACGTGCAGTGCCCAAGGCTCTGCGCGCCGCTTCCGCAGCCTCCAGCTGGCCGGCTAGTGGCTGGACAGCCTGTTCCAACACGTTGCAGTCCTCCTGGATCCCCACACGTTCCGCAAAGTCCCGCCCTTCTCTTCTTCCCTTTGGTGGATCTTACCTCCTTTCAGACCGCCCCTCCCCAGCTGGTTATTTGGTTGGTCAGCGCGCTTGTGGCTACGTAATTCACCCGCGCCACCCGGAAGCCGTGGTTGTACCAACCCGTTCTTATTGCCGGCGGCCCTCAGGTAAGGGGCCGCGTTTTGGTGTCCCTGGGTAGCCGAGTCCTGGAGTTGGGAAGGACAGAAGGTGGACCCCCCCACCCCCAGCATGACCCGGACGTGCTCATTTCCCAACCTTAACAGGGTGGAAATGAACTGTGCATGGGGCCATACTGAAGTGGTCAATGTGGTCTTCCCCTTCCCCCTCCCCAGGAGCCCGTAATGGAGACGCCCCCTAAAGGGCGGGTGGTGGAGGCCACGGCCGAGAAAGTACTGCGCTATGAGGCCTTCATCAGTGACGTGCTACAGCGGGACTTGCGGTGAGTGACAGCAAGAGGGGCGGGGCCTGCAGGATATTCCACGTGGTGGATGGGGCGTTTGGAGTCCGGGCCAAGCCTTCGGATTGGTGGGCGACACATCCGGAGCCCATCCCCACGCGTTTCCTTAAGGGCGAAGGGGAAGCAACTTCCGGGGTGCAATCGGGCTGGGACTTGTGAGTCGAAGGGCGTGCCTGCGCATGCGCGGACCGCGATGGCTTAAGAGCCAAGTTCCCGAGCTACAGTTCTGGGGCTTGAGCTCTGGCTAGCTACTTTACCATCTACGTAAATATCGCACCCACCTTCTTTCTGTGTCTTATAAAGCTTTCAAATCAGTGAAATGAAGAAATTACAGAACCTTACTCATGCCATGATTTTGAGTGTTCAGAGTGATGTCAAATATACTAGGTGTTCAAGGAGTATGAAGAGCTATTATTTCTGTCCTTGGTTATCTGAGCAGGAAGCGGGGTGTTAGAACTTGGACTATGAACAGCCTGAAAGGAATGTAGGAATTTTCTAGGATGAGGATGACACATACTGATTGGCATTGGGAGTGAAGTGTAACAACAGTTAAGAGTTAGCACATTTATAAGCCTTACGATTTGGAAGGCATTATTCTAAATCTTTTATAGTAAGTTTTCATTTAATCCGAATGCCTCTACACGATCATAATGTCACCCCTATTTTATAGTTGAAAAAGCCAAATAGATTACTTGCCAAAACCACACATCTGGGTAAGACCCAGGCAGTCTGACCCAGGGTCCAAAACCTTAACTTCTGCACTGAAAGGAGAGCATAATAACATGAGACCTTTGGTGAGGTGTAGCCTGTTGCTCACCATTGTACTTTTACCCATTAGGAAGGTGCTGGACCATCGAGACAAGGTATATGAGCAGCTGGCCAAATACCTTCAACTAAGAAATGTCATTGAACGACTCCAGGTAGACATCAGGGTTGGATGCTCTTTTTTTGTTTTGCTTTTGAGGGTGCATGTGAGGGAAGTGGGAAGAGAGACCCTAGACTGAAACCTTTTACCTGAGCTGAAAGCTGACCACTGACCCCTGCCTCTTTCTCTCTCCCTACAGGAAACTAAGCACTCGGAGTTATTTATGCAGGTGGATTTGGGCTGTAACTTCTTCGTTGACACAGTGGTGTGAGTGTCTACCACCCTCCGGAGCCCTTCCCTCATGGAACAGATATTTTTTCAGCATCTGTTATGCACCAGACGCTGCTAGATTTTATAACCATTAGGATATAAGCTAAGTATTGGGGATATGAAAGGAAATGAAATGGAATCAGATCCCTGCCTCCCCAGAAACTCAAAATGGGGATGGAGAGGGGATAAACAGTTTTAATTAAACTGTGTGGTATGATGAACAGTAATAAGAACCTCTTCCAATTCTTCTAACCTCTCTCCTCAGCCCAGATACTTCACGCATCTACGTGGCCCTGGGATATGGTTTTTTCCTGGAATTGACACTGGCAGAAGCTCTCAAATTCATTGATCGTAAGAGCTCTCTTCTCACAGAGTAAGTCCATTTTGTGAAGGGAGTATCTAAAAGAACCATTTCCAACACTCTTTTCCCGTAACTTAGAGACCCAGCTTCCCTGTTCTTCAGACATGGGTCTAAGGGAGTGGATATGCAAAGCTCAGCCCCAAGGCTAGCACATAATAAACATTCCAATCACGTGGTCTTTGAATAATTCAGTCATACAAACATATTGGGCATCTTTTCCTGAGCACACTCTGTGCATGAGAGTAGAGATACAGCAGTGAACAAAACAGAAGCAAGCTCCCATTCTAAAGGGACTATGTTATTATACCCAGCTACAGCTGTGACAACAGCTCAACAAGGCCTCAGTGTAAGTCAGTAACAGTAAAACAAGTTACCTCTAACTTTACCTACTGATTTTCCAGCTAATTCATTATACTCTTGCCATGGTAACTTTCACATGCCTCTTTAAATGTCCCAGGAATGCTGCTACCCTGGGGCAGATGCAGTGGCTATTCTCCCTGCCATAGTCTTTCCCCAGTACACCTGTGGTTTCTCTTCTCACTCAATTGCCCTGCTTAAATATTCTCTCCTCATCAACAAGGTCTTTCATAGACTTAGTATGTACTTGCAATCCCTAAGACTCTTGATTTCATTTATCTGCTTTTTCTCTTAATTTTTCTTCTGTACTTATTACCTCCTAATACTTATTGTGCAATTTGTTTCTTTGTTACACATGTAGTGTCCTTCAGGATATAAGCTTAACAAAGGGAGAATTTTTGTGTAGACCCCAGGTGATTAGAATAATACATAGCATACAGTAAATCATCTGTGTGTGTTGAATGTATTTGAAAGGAATTCTGAAAACAAATTGATGTGGTCAATGAAATAAACCTGCATTGGTGGCGATGGAGAGAAAGTACGGATTCCAGTTGAGTTTAAGTTGTTGAATATGGAAGGACAGTTGGGAGTATAGATGAGGGGTTTGAAATGTACCTGAGGAAAGCCTCCCAGCAGAGATTCCATTTTGAGCTATTTGAATAAGCAAGCCATGGGACTTTCTGGGGAACATTCCTGTAAAGGGCAGCAGTGTACCTGGCCTGCTAGTGGAAGCTACCAAGAGGCACGCATGGCCCAGATGGGACAGGTGTGAGGGATGTGAGCATTGCGCTTAGATTAGCAACATCTCACAAGTGTGAATACTATTGATTTAAAATTCCTTCTTGGTTGTTTGTTTATTCCTGCATTGGCTTCTTCCAGAGTTACCTCCCTTTGTTTTTCAGTATTTTTTTTTCTTTTCAAATGTTTCTTGAATTTCTGTTTTAGTGAACTCAAAATAGTATCAGACCTGCTGAGAATTCTAAATCTTAATGATCAGACCAGTTAGTGACTAGTTTGATCAAGGGTTGTTCTGCTTTCATTATCAATCCAATTCCAAACTGCTTTCCTTTTTATATCACAGGATTCCTGGGTCTTTGAGATACATTTAAAATTTTTGAGACCCAGTGTTTTTTCTAAAAATTAGGTATGTAGCTTGTCAGTGCCTGTCCCCTTACCTGATCTATTAGTGTAGTTAAAAATGTGGTTGACTCTCTCATGCTTTAATATTAGCAGTTCGACTCTCTAGACATTTAATCTTTGTAGGAGATAAAAATGTGAGTCTGTAGGCTTTCCTCCTCAAGATATGATCATTTGGTATGTTCTTTCTGATTATTTCATGTATTCAAAACTGCCCAGAAGTGCTTCCTGTTCTTAGTCTATAATTTTGGGGATGGAGGAGAGCAAGCTTCTATATATTCTTTCCTGCTAAGCATCAAAGAGTGCACATCCACATCTTACAAAGAGACATGTAATTATAGAAAAGCAGTAGTAATACAACTGGAATTTGGTAGACTCATATTTTTCTCCATTTAAGGGTTAAAGTCTATAGCCATTCATAAACTAAACTTGTTTCATTGCTTCAGTAATTTTGTTCTTTCTCACTTTTTAAGGACTAATTAATTTTGTTCTTTTTAAAAAATATTTGTTTATTTGAAAGGCAGAGTTAAGTTAAAGAGAGAAGGAGGGAGAAACAGATTTTTCCAGCTGCTGGTTCACTCCCAAAATGGCTACAGTAGCAAAGCTGGCAAGATCAAAAAAACAGGAGCTTGGAATTCCATCCAGCTTTCCCATGTGGGTTTCAGGGGCCCAGCACTTGGATCTGCTTTTTCAGGTGCATTAGCAGAGAGATGGATTTCAAGTAGAGCAGATAGGACAAGAATCAGTGCCATATAAGATGCCAGTATTTTAAGTGATGGCTTAACCTGTGCCACAACCCTCCCCGCTGTTCTTTTTGATACTAAAAAGAACAGCTATGGATCTGATCAACTTTATTCCCTCCTGTCTTTTTTTTTTTTTTTAAGATTTTTTTTTCTAAATTGGAAAGGCGGATCACATTTACAGAGGAAGAGACATAGAGAAGGATTTTCTATCTGCTGGTTCACTCCCAAATGACCACAACAGCTGGAGCTGAGCTGATCTGAAGCCCGGAGCCTCTTCTAGGTTTCCCACAATGCTGCAGGGTCTCAAGGCTTTGAGCTGTCCTCTACTGCTTTCCTAGATCATAAGCAGGGAGCTGGATATATCCCCTGTTCTTTGAGCACTACACCAAATAACCTCGAAAGTACTGTCACTCTAGAAACAGCACCGTGCTTCATTTTTGATCTCTAAATGTAGATTTAACAGTTTTGTGTTTCAGCTTCCTTTGAGTCAATAATCCTTCATTTATTCAGCACTGCCCCACACTGTTCTGGATACAGGAAATGCAACAGAATAAAACATATCAAAAACTTCACCCTCACATAGCTGACATTCTAGTCAGGGAAGACAGACAATAAACAAAAGTAATATGAGGCAATTAAAAAAAATGAACATTAAGATTTATTTATATCTTCATTTATTTATTTATTTTAGAAAGGCAGATTTACAGAGAGAAGGAGAGACACTGAGAAAGAGCTTCCATCTGCTGGTTCACTCCCTAAACGGCTGCAATTGCTAGAGCTGAGCCAATTTGAAGCTGGGAACCAGGAGCTTCCTTGGGGTCTCCCATATGGGTGCCGGGTTCGAAAGCTTTGGGCCATCCTCCATGGGAAGTGAAGTATCTGGGACATGAACTGGTGCCCATATTGGATCCTGACACTTTTTTAAAAAAAGATTTATTTATTGTTATTGCAAAGTCAGATATACAGAGAGGAGGAGAGACAGAGAGGAAGATCTTCTGTCCGATGATTCACTCCCCAAGTGACCACAACGGCTGGTGCTGCGCCAATCCGAAGCTGGGAACCAGGAACCTCTTCCTAGTCTCCCACGCGGGTGCAGGGTCCCAAAGCATTGTGCTGTCCTCGATTGCTTTCCCAGGCCACAAGCAGGGAGCTGGATGGGAAGTGGGGCTGCCGGGATTAGAACTGGCACCCATATGGGATCCTGGAGCGTGCAAGGCAAGGACTTGAGCCACTAGGCCACGCTACCGAGCCCGGATCCCGACACTTATAGGTGAAGGATTAGCTGATTGAGGCATAATGCTGGCCCCTGTATACTTAATTTCAAAGTCTCTGATCTTCTGGCTGTTCCTCAAAAAAAAAAAAATCTTTCCTACCACTGGGCCTTTTTCTGGAAGACATTCACATTGCTGAACTCTTTCTTATTCAGTTCCTTCTCATTCTCATTCTTGAGGAAGGTTTCAACCTGTCAGGATTCTTTTGGGTGAGATCTGATGCAAACTGCCTTAGAATTGACTGGTGCATGTAGCTCAGCAGTCCAGAGCCAGAATGGTTTTAGGCACCTCTGGTTTCAGATCTTAGGCCTTGGCATCTGCCCCGAGTCCTAGCTCGCACCCAAGGTCCAACCCTTTGCTAAGTCCTATTGGCTCTACCTGCAAAATGCATCCCAAATCCAGTCATCTCTCACCCCTTTAACAGACAGCCACTGTTGTCAGAGCCTCCTTGGCTCACACAGTATACTGTACACTAACTCTCCATATTTCCATTCACTCCTCAACCCAGCATCCAAATGATGGATTTTGTTTTTAAGATTACTTATTAGAAAGATTTACAGAGCAGAGACGGAAATATCTTCCATCTGCTGATTCACAAGCTGAGTCGATCCGAAGCCAGGAACCAGGAGCTTCCTCAGGTTCTCCCACACAGGTACACAGGTCCAGCGTCCCAAGGTCTTAGGCCATCCTCCACTGCTTTCTCAGGGCACAAGTAGGGAGCAGGATGGGAAGTGGAGCAGGCGGGACATGAACCAGCACCTGAATGGGACCCCTGCACTTGCAATTAGATGATTAGTCATCATGGTAGGCTCAGATGTATGCTCATAAATCCAGTTCACTTCACCTCCCAGCCCTTACCAGGCTTCCAGTTCACTTAATAGAAATGCCCAGACTTTTAACCTGGCCTTGTTGGGTTTACACACTCTGCCTCCCACCCACCCCCATCTCTACTGTTTGACCACACCTGTTACAGTACCGCTCATTCTTCTCCAGGCAAAGTATCCTGTTAGCTATGCTTGAAACATGCCAGGTAAACTCCCAGTTCAGTACTATTGTCTTGGCTACTCCTTGTGTGTAGAGTACCCATCCTTCGTGTAGCACTATTAGCTTCTTTATGGCTTGACTCAAAATGCTTTTCAATGAAGCTGTCCCTAGGTACCCCATTCCACTTTTATTGTCCCTCCCTGTTTACTTTTTGCATTGTACCTAGAACCATGTGACATGCCGTGGATCTTATTCCATCATTTATTTGTCTGACTCTCTTAGGAATCTGAGCCCCCTGAAGCCAGGAAATTTGTATATTGTGTTTGCTGCTGTCCCCCCAGTTCCTAAAACCAACATACAGTAGATGTTTGGTAATCTTTGAATCAGGTCCAGACTGTGATCAGCCACTTCTACATAGAAGATTGGTAAAAGTCCTCCTGGATCTAAGTAGTTGAAGTGAGGAGGAAGAGTCATCTTTGTAAGTGGAGCCCACTTTGCCCATTGTTTTTTCTTTTCTCCAGGCTCAGCAACAGCCTCACCAAGGACTCCATGACTATCAAGGCCCATATTCACATGTTGCTAGAGGTGAGAGCAGTGCAGCCCACTCCCAGCCTCTGCCTCCAGATGTGGTTAGGGCGATGACCTGAAGAAGGGAGAGAACCAGCCTTGGAAAGGACCATCTTTCCCTTTGAACTGGATTCGGGGGGCGGAGGGGGGAGTTCCGAACAAGCCTGAGGAGGGGGCCTAGACCCAGTCTCTCTTATAAAAACCCTCTGTCCTCTTTTTCAGGGGCTTAGAGAACTACAAGGCCTGCAGAATTTCCCAGAGAAGCCTCATCATTGACTACTCGCCCCATCCTCTGACATTAAAGAGCCTGAATGCCTTTGAGTCACATGGCCCTTCTTTTACCCCTTAATCCCTGATGGTTACTAAGGTACCCTGTTTCTGGGATCCAACGTTAACTGGGAGGTTTAGTTTTTCTATGGATCCTTTAAAGCAACCTGGAAGTCCTGCCTCCAGCTTGTTGCCTGGCAGACTTTGCTGCTTGACTTTAGGTCCTCCCCTCCGTGTCACCGTGGCAACCTGCTTTCCCCCCCCCCCATTCCTTCCATTCTTTTTCCTGGACAGCATCCTTTGAATTGCCTTAGAGAATGGACCGATTCAAGGTGGAGGTTTGTTCCCATGGCAATCAGCCGTTCACTAGTAGCCCTAAGATTTACACAAATCGTTCCACAGGTACCATCAATTACACCCACGCCAGTCAACCTTGCCCCCAGCTTCTAAATGGTTCCAGCTGCCAGCAATAGGTGCCGAGCCAGAGTGTGCCCTCTCTGGCCCAACCCCTATGTTAGGTTAAATCTAGCTTCCCCAAGTCAAGGCAGAGCCAGGTTCCGCCTCCCATAATAACTCTGGCCAGAGCCCAAGCTTGCTCTGTGAGCACTTAGTTTCTCAACGCTCCTTTGCGTGTCTGGCAACCATCCTGCCCTCCTACCTCCGCTCCGTTCTAAATTCGTCTTTTCTAGCCAATCGCTATAGAGCTACCCTGTCCTCCTACGCAGAGCAGGGCTGGCTGCTACGCCCATTTCTATACAAGTCCTGCTTCCGCTAAGCAGCGTGGCTCGCAGCACCGCCTGCTTGCTGTTTTGGCAGCTGTCTAGGAGTCTCGTCCGCCAATCACTGGAAAGCTGCACCCGCTCTTACCTCCCCCCCGCCCGTCCCCCGCCCGTCCCCCGCCATCTTCAGGGGCTTTCTACCTTCAGTTCCGTTTGGGCCAATCAGCACGAGGCAGGTGCTCCCCCCACCTTATCAATTAACCACGATCTGTCGGGCCCCCTAGAGCCAATCTGCGTGGAGCAACGGCGAGTCCCTGCGTGTCTCCTCGGGACTCGGGTGTCTGTCCGGGGCACGTCATGTCGCCTTGGGCCAATCACGGAGTGGCTCTGTGGGACTGGCTCCGCCCCACCGAGCCCTGAAGCCGTGCGGTCTGGCCGTGGCGCCTTGGCCAATCAGCAAGCGGCGGGAGGTTGGGGCTCCTCCCTCGCAGGCCCACGTGAGCGGTGGGGAAACGCAGGGGCGGCTTCTAGGTGCTGCCGCCGCCGCCGCCACCACCGCCACCACCGCCGCCTCAGAACCCGGGCCTGGGGGGCGGTGGGGCCGCGTATGGAGCCCCCGCCCCCCGGAGCTACTAACACCGCCTACGCCGCCGCCGCCGCGCTACACACAGGTGAGTTCCGGCCTGGAGGATAGAAGGTCCTATCCATGACCCCATGTATCCTTCCCGCCCCCGCGTGGGGAATGTGGCTTGGCCGGTGGCCTGTGGGTGTCCGGCTCCCTACTACCACCACCATGGCTGGTGCACCTGCATGTGGCATGCCCTCCCTTCCCTTTGCCCCCAATGCTGGATCTGACCGTGGCCTAATGTTCCCCCTCCCGCTGTATAATGGATCGGTCTGCGCGCTTCTATTCTCCACACCCCAATTTACAGTGGACTCGTCCATGGGCTTGCCCCACCCCCCACCCCCCACTTAGAGCCAGTTCGCGGCATTGTCCAGCCCCCTTAATAGTAGGTGCTTGTTGCAGTTCTTCAGCCTCAACTTTCGGGGGCCCCTCTATGGCCTTGTTTATTGCACCCGTCCTGGTCCCCATAGAGAATCCGTGGCTCTGTACTCCACCGTGAACACACATACACACGTGTGCCCGTGCGCGCTCCTGTTTCAGCGAGTCCACCTGAGTTTGTGTGGTTTCCGTTCTGCCTTCTCCAGGCTCTATTAGTCCCTGGCTTTATCAAGGCCGCGCTCCCTTTCTAGAGTTCAGACTGGTCTTCAGAACCGCGGGCTTAGCAGTCCAGTGCCCTGTCTTACCTCCTATTTTGTATACTGTCACCCCAGGGCTTGGGCTTCCCACTTCCTTTTCCTAGTGGGTTGCTTCGGTGCTGTGTACTCCAGTCTCTGTTTGCAGTGGCACAGTCTCTGGCTTTGTCCTGCTTTCCTCTTAATCAAGTTTTTCCGCTGGTTTTTCTCCCTTTCAGCTGTTGCTCAAGAATCCATAAGCTTTTCCTGCTAGGAGATGAACCTTATCTCCCGCTCCCTTACACAAGGATCTGTTCCATGGTCTTCCTGCCCCCACCCAGTGTTCTTCCATCCCGCCTCTCCCTTACTCCCTCCTCCTGTGCAGTCCCAATCCCTGGGGAGTCTAAGCCTGTGCACTTTTGGTTGTGGAGCACTGTGCTTCATACACACTCTTAGTCACCAAGACGTGCTGCGTCCTCACTGTAAGTGAATACATTAGCGGCAGTGATAATGACCACGCCAGGAGGAGCTAACATTTACTGAACATCTGGTATGAACAGGTAAAGTGTTTTTATGTAGGGAACTCATTTTATCTTCACCACTATCTCGTGAGATAGGTATGGCAGAAGTGGGAGCCTAGCAAGCTCAGAGGCCTCACTCAGAGGTGCTCCAGTAAGTAAGCCGGGCACAACAGCTCTCGAAGCTGCCCTCTTTTACCTCGAGCCAGATCACGCCATAGGAAGCCCCACTCAAAAAAAGCAAATGCATTCCCGGCTCCATGTGTTTAGTTTTTCTGTTTCCTGTGCCTGCAGAATCGTCTCAGCAGCCAGCCACCAAATCCTAGCAGCTGGGTGACCACCCCCACCTCTTAAGCACACACACACACACACACACACAAGCACATGCGCGCGCACACACACATGACTGCTTTAACCACGTTATCTCTGCACGTGTTTGCTCGTTTGTGAAATGAGGGAATCGGAATCCCCTCCAGCGTAAATAAAGAATACCTGTGAGTTAATGAAACCAATCCCTTGTCTGGCCTCCATCCACTCCCCACCTCCTAACTGTGTACACTGTTAGGGTGCGGGAAGGACTCCTGTCAGCACCTCCCCGCTGCTTTTCCAACAGAGCCTGTACATCCTGCCACAGGGCCTTTGGACTAGCAATTCTCCAATGTCTCTGGCATCTGCCTGGTTCCTGTCTGGGCTCTGTGGCATGAGTGAATGGGACACACTGTGAAGAGACATGTATAAACAAAGCTTTGAAGAATGACAGTTTATATGTGAGAAAGGTGTTAGCAAAAGGATGTGTTTCCCAAACTAATATATAATATCTCCTCTTGAAGGCGCAGGTGGGAGAGCTGCTTTTAAGAGTCCTTGGGAGAAAAAAAACAGAGTCCTTGAACTGCACTGTATCTGGGTAGTGTTTATCACACTGTGGTACTTGGGCTATACTATTTAAAGGCACACATGTAATAAAGTTCCTCTGAATGGTATTTCTAACAACAAAGCCACTCTTGACGGTGGGCTCCCACACACTCAGCAGGACTCAGGCCCCGTAACTGTTCTGTTGGTCCCTTCGTCCTTTCCCGCTCCCTGACATATTGGCCGGTTTAGTTACTGTCTCTCCTCATTAAGTGGTTGTCCTGTAAGAATTTACACTTTATGTCTGCTTGTTTGCCCTAGTGTCTTCAGCTCCCTGGAAAAAAAAAAGAAAGAAAGAAAAAGAAAAGACCCAGGTATACAGTAGGTGCTCACTAAGAATTTATTGTGTGAATAAATAGGAAAAAACAGAATTTCAGACCTTGGTACTGGGGACAGGAGGGGTAAGAAGGGATATGAGCGGGAACAAAACAGGCGCATAGCCCTGTCCTTGGGGAGGACACCGTGTAAACAAAACAAGTGAAATGAGATCGTTAAACCGGGTGGTAAGGAGAAAACAGGAAGTGGAGCAGTAGGAATGGGTGAAATGTTAGGCAAAGGAAAGGACTCTTGAATTAGGGCCTGGAGGAGGTGAGGAAAGGATCTGTGATGTCTCAGGGAAGATGTGCCGGTGGAAGCAACAGCTAGGCAAAGTCCTCGTGGTAGGACTGTGCCTGTTGTGTCCGGGACCGTGGAGGAGGCTGGTGTGGTGGGGAACGAGGCACATAGGGGGTAGAAGCTGAGGTCACAGCAGTGACAGTAGCCAGCTGGCACAGGCCGATGTGATATATATCTGATTGGAAAGAAGGAACGAGGAGGCAGACGAATGATACACAAGCTAGAAATGCTAGCTAACATTTGTCTACCATGTGCCAAAACGCTTTTTCTAAGTCCCTTGCGTATATTGACATATTTCATGTTCCAAAAAAAGCCTTAAAGAAGAAGTGTATTTTTGAGGCTATTTTGAGAACAAAACATTACCATTTTACAGATGAAGAACTAGGGACAGAGAGGTTGAGACACTTGGCTCAGGGTCACGCAGGCAGGTCATGGCCAAGGAGTATAAGGCTAAAGAAACAGAATGGGTCTGCAAGAGTAGACAGGTTATTTGATGCGCCACATCACAGAGGGAGAATTCATTCTGCCTGGAAGGTACCAGAACTTGATGGTTGTGTAATCAAAGTTCATGGGGTGAGGGAAGGACTCCTCTGGCAGTGAGAACACATGTGTGCGTATCTCCCAGAAGTAGGCTATGTGGGTCGCTCAGGATGGTTGTCTCAGGTCAGCATCACTTCCACCAGGAAACCCTCCCTGCTTACCTCCCAAGATTGTAGCCTTGCATGTTTTGCTTTCTTGATGACTGGAGCCAAAGCTCATGGGTTTGAATCCCAGCCCCACCAGCTTTCCAGCTGTGCAGTTCAGGGATATTTCTCTGAAGTATATATTCTCAGTGCAGGATACTTCTCTGTGCCCCCATTGCTTCATCTGAACAGTGACAGCTGTAATAACCACCCTTGAGTTCTTGGTTAGAGGATTAAAAGAGCGTATAGCACATATTAAGGACAGTGCGACTGGATTGTATTTTTAAAATTAATGCTCATGGCCATGCACATCAGGGTCTACCAAGCCTCTGAATGTCTCCAAAACTGGTTGCCTGCTCACCTCACAAACCATACCCCTTTTCCCCCGACCCTGACACTCCTACTGCTGGGTTTTTCTGTTCTCATTCCTTGCTTTCTGGTCCCCTCCATTGGAGCTGGCTGCACCCTCCGCTTCAAAGCTCTTCACGCTGGCTGCGTCCTTGGCTGGGCATAGTACCCCCATTGCCCACAGCCCAGCTGCTTCGCCTCTTCTAGGTCTTTGCTCCCATATGATGTCCTCAGTGGCCACGCTGTCCTGACTCCCTGTGTCAAAACAACTGCTCTTTTTCTGCTCCCGTTTGGCCCGCTGCCTTCAACACCATTAGGTATGCTCTTGTTTGCCTTGGTTCTCGTCCTGCCCACTCCACCCGTGTATGCATTCCTGTACAGCAGGGAGTTTTGTCTTTTTTTTTTTTCCACATTTGTGTCCCTAGCACTGGGCTATGGTAGACACTCAAATCCTTGCTGAAAATGAATGGGATGAAGAGGAGTAAACACATCTGAGTGAGGCAGAATACTAGAGTTCTTATTAGGGGTCGAGTGGGAGAAGTGATAATAAGCAAAATACAAAGCCCTGTTGTGCTGGCAAGGCTGGAAGCCAGCCGGCAGATTTTCACTGAGCTGCTAGAGTCTGGAAGAGAAGGCAGTAAAAAAAAAAAAATCGCTTCTCGGCCTTTTGGCTAAGATCAAGTGAGAAGCCAGCAAATTTGCCTGGGTTCACGACCAGGAGTCACACTCAACTCTCCAGGCATCTGAAACAAGTCTGGCCTTCAACATAAACTCTGCTAATCCTCCGGCGACAGGACTGTCCCCATCCCACATTGCACGACGCTGTGACTTGTATAATTACCCAAGACTGGGCCAGCTGCATGAACTTGGAATCAGGTCAGGCAGAAGAGGATCCTGCTGTGTGGTTAGTTTGTGGCAGAATAAAGAATCCACAGTAACTGGAGGATCTTTGAAAGCTTCTGTTTTAACCCAGTGATCCTGGCCAGGTGAATAGTTGATTAGTTAAAGTTCATTCTCTTAAGGAACAGGAAGTTCATGTTTATTTTCCATTTGCTGCTAGGAAAAGACACGGCTGGAGTGACAGGGAGGGGCCTGCTCTCCGAGGGACATGCCTGAGAGGCAGCAGTTGATGTTCTGGGGGCAGGGGAAGCAGGGTGGCACTATAATCTGATGGCTAAAAAGCTCAGATGCTGGCTGTGCTGCTTCCAGCTGTGTGGCCTGGGCAAGTTCCAGAGCCATCTTGTGCCTGCGCTTCATCACCTGGAAAATAGTAATCAGACGACCCTAGATCCTAGCCTTGGGATGAAGGACCAAGGAGTCCGTACCTGTAAAAATACAGCACTGCAGGCGCACATGACCCGATCAAACTGGGCTGGGTAGGTTTCGTAGTCTTAGATTTTAGAAAGGTACCGTGGTGCACTTGCGATGTGTTACATAATCACATAATCGCCTCCATGAGCTCTGGCATCAACTACGTTTCTGTCTCTGCAGCAAGCGGAATGAGGCTCAGTAAAGACCGAAAAGGACCTGACTGCCATTCAAATCGGATTTTGCTGCCAAAAGAGTTACAAAGAAGCTTTCAGGTGTCAGGGCTTTTTGGATTTCTGAAAAGTAGAATAAGCAATTATTAACAAATTGGAAAATAATGTTTATTTAAACCCTACTGCCCTCCAGGGTGTATCATATTGAACCCACACAATAACCCTATGAAGCAAGTATCGTTGTTATTGTTTGTGTTTGACAGATGAGAAAATTGAGGTAGAAAGGAATGAAAAGTACGTGCCAAGGGTCACACAGCTAACAGGAGGATATGTCACACTGTTTGTGGGGAAAAAACAGGATTAAAGGTATAAGTTTATTTTTAGGAGAAATGTGTTATAAAAAGAAAAAACTTTGCAGCAAAATAAACTTGCTGAATTCCATTATTTCCTGGAGGTTTTTGAAATACTTTCGTAATTGGCAGAAACAGGATTCGAACCTTGGCAATCTGAGCCTAGAACCTGGGCTGTTGTCCAATAAGCCGCACTGCTGCTTTGCTTGGAACAGTGCCTGACATGTGTAAGTACTCAGTGTATATTAGTTATTGCTGTTGTTGAGAACATATAGGGACGAGAGTTGCTATGGAAGGGAGAGGACTTGGCAGCAGAGGGACAAGTGGGAACAGGCCCTGGGATTCAGGAAGACTTCTTAAAGGGCCTCCAACTGGGGCTGAAAGATGTGGAAGACTGATAAGTGGAGGTAAGGAACCAGCTTTAAGAGGAGTGGCAAAAGAAAGCCTTCCCACAAACTTAACCTTGATGTGGTAGGAGACACCGGTTAGGTTCAGACGAGGGGGACTGCCCTAGATACCCGCAGTGGTGGTCAAAAATTCATCTGCTTAAAGCAATGGGTTTGCAGTCCTGTAGTGCTGTATGGGTGCAACCCTGGTCTCCCCAGGCTGATGTCAAGGTGTTGGCAAGGCCGTGATCCTTTGTAGCACTGCTCGGGGAGAATCTGTTTCCAGCTTATTTGAGTTATTGGCACAGTTTGATTCTCTGAGGTTGGAGGACCAAGAACACTATTTCCTTACTGGCTTTCAGTTTGGGGCCCTTTCCAACTTTAAGATGTTGCCCACTTGCCTTGGCATAGGGCTCCTTTTTTCCATCTTCAAAGCCAGCAGCAGTAGGTCAAGTTCCTCTCACATTTTGAATGTCTCCTCCTCCTCTATTGTCTCATCTCTGCGTTACTTTTCTGGCTCCCTCTTCGGCTTTTCAGAGTTCACATGGTTATATCCAGCTCTCTCAAAAAATCCAGACAAATCTAAGTCTGTAACCTTATTCCATGTGCAGAGGGTCCCAGGTTATGTGGACATTTTTGAGTCGGGATGGCATTTTCGTACCTACCACAGTCTGCCCTCTGATCCCAAAAGTTTCACATAAGTGGCACATGCAAAACCCATTCACAGCACCCTAAGAGCCGTGTGTGTGTGTGTGTGTGTGTGTGTGTGTGTGTGTGTGTGTGTGTGTGTGTGTATGTGTATGTATGTGTATCATCCCAATAAACAAAACTGGGAAGCATAAAAGTTCATCTGACGGCATTCAGGGAAGGATGATAGCATATGTAGAGGCGAAATGACAAGAAAGGAATTCCCCCCTCCCTTCCATCTCTCATCTCTGCCTCCTCCTGTGTCCCCAGCTTCTCAGCTCTGAGTTCTCTACCCCTCCAGGTACTCCTGGGATGGCGTGAGTGCTCCCCCAGCGATGGACCCATCTGTGACGCTGTGGCAGTTTCTGCTGCAGCTGCTGAGAGAGCAAGGCAATGGTCACATCATCTCCTGGACCTCACGAGATGGTGGGGAATTCAAGCTGGTGGATGCAGAGGAGGTGGCCCGACTCTGGGGGCTGCGCAAGAACAAGACCAACATGAACTACGACAAGCTCAGCCGGGCATTGCGGTACTACTATGACAAGGTAAGGCCTCTAAGCCCAAGGCCGGAAGCCTGTGACATTGAGATCAGAAAAGTCATTATCTTGTTTAACTTCTCCTATAACATTGAAAACAATATGAAAATGTATTACTTCTCAAATCCTTTGCCTAGGACCTTCAGACTAACTTAATCTCCCTTATTTTCTTTGGTTAAAACCTTTATAATCCTCTTTTAGTCAACAATGTGTGCTATTCTTATTCCTGGAGTCGCAACCTCCCTGAAAAGGTTATGCTTATCTTCCTGACTTCGTTCTCTGAAACTACAGCATTTTTTTTTTTTTTTTACCAATTCTTTCGCTAAAGTCTCTGAAACAGCATGTATAAAGCCAGCTCCACACCCCATACTTTTGGATTCCCAAAGCATCCCTGATCTACTCCAGTATCTGTATGAGCTGTTTTATTTCATTACTACTACAGCAAAAATTTTAAATTTCCTTCATCCTGTACACACAGACTCTCTGAACAAGATTTTTCCTCTCCTTAATGTTTATACCAGGCATCTCACTTTGTTATTTAGCTGGATGAGGCCTGCCGCGGTAGCCTAGCAGCTGAAGTCCTTACCTTGCATGTGTCATGCCGTGCCGGGATCCCATATAGCCACCACTTCTAATCCTATCAGCTCCACTTCCCATCCAGCTCCCTGCTTGTGGCCTGGGAAAGCAGTGGAGGACGGCCCAAAGCCTTGGGACCCTGTACCCGCGTGGGAGACCCGGAAGAGGCTTCAGGTTCCTGGCTTCCTGGCTTCAGATTAGCGCAGCTCCAGCCTTTGTGGCCACTTGGGGAGTGAATCAGCAGATGGAAGATCTTCCTTTCTTTCCTCCTTTCTGTGTATCTGACTTTCTTATGTAGCTGAAACCTCCACCACAACAATGTTCCTTTTCATTCCTCTTCTGAGAAACAAAAACCCTGATCAGCATCATGACCTCACAAGGTGGCTGGTGTTGTGGCAGGCTAAGCCACCGCCTGTGGTGCCAGCATCCCAGTTGAATGCTGAATCACGTCCCAACTGCTCCACTTCCGATCCAGCTCCCTGCTACTGTACCTGAAAAAGCAACGGAAAGTGGCCCAAGTGCTCGGATCCCTGCACCTGTGTGAGAGACCAAGATGGAGTTCCAGGCTCCTGGCTTCAGCCTGGCACAGCCCCTATCCCTGCAGACATTTGAGGAGTGAATCAGCAGACGGAAGATCCATCTCTTGCTCTCTGACTCTGCCTTTCAAATAAATAATCCTTAAAAAAAAAAGCCTCACTGGGATGCCCTAGTATCTCCACAGTCCTCTTGCCCCCAGAACAGCCACATTCTTACATTGCACACATTAATCATCGAAGGCATTTATTCCATTTTCCTATTTTATGCTTTTAACTTGGACCCCCAGAGCACCAAGGTTACCTCTGTATCCCCAAAGGTCCACCAGAACCTCCCTGAGTACCCTCCAGACCAGACTGGTCGTGAAATAAAATCTCAAACATACTTGGCTCCCCCAAACCGGCCCTGAGATCTGCTCCCACAGTGTTGACACCAATATTTTTATTGGTCTTTTCTAATTGTTATCAGCGGGTTCATTTTATCACTCTTTTAGCTTACAAACCTCCACAATGCCACAGCAGTATTTTTCACTTATTTGAGGGGCTCAGACTATGTTCCCATCCACTGGTTCACTCTCCAAATAACAGCAGCTGGGGCTGGGCCAGGCTGAAGCTGAGAGCTCGCAAGTCAGTCCTTGTTTCCCACATGAGTGGGAACCATCACCTGCTGTCTCCGAGGTGGCACATTAGCAAGAGTGTAGAATTGGGAGCAAAGCTTTGACTTGTACCCTGGGCATCGCAGCATGGCATGTGGATATCCCAAACAGCATCATTTACTATCACACTAAACCTCTATCCCCACAATTTTATTTATTTATTTTTAAAGATTTGTTTATTTTTATTACAAAGTCAGATATACAGAGGAGGAGAGACAGAGAGGAAGATCTTCCTTCCAATGATTCACTCCCCAAGTTAACCGCAACGGCCAGCGCTGCACTGATCTGAAGCCGGGAACCAGGAACCTCTTCCTGGTCTCCCACGAGGGTGCAGGGTCCCAAGGCTTTAGGCCGTCCTCGACTGCTTTCCCAGGCCACAAGCAGGGAGCTGGATGGGAAGTGGAGCTGCCAGGATTTGAACCGGCACCCATATGGGATCCTGGTGCATTCAAGGTGAGGACTTTAGCCGCCAAGCTACGCCGCCGGGCCCTATCCCCACAATTTTAATGAGGCCTTCTTACCTTGTCTGCTGTAATGGACCTCGGCCCGCTCCACTTCTATGTTAATAACTTTAAATACTCTTTATTAATAATTCATCTTCCCACTCAGCTGAATTAATTTATTCTCTTCCAACATTTATAACAGTTACTTTATTTTCCTGTTGTATCGCATTAGCTCGCCTCCAAATCTGTGTCCTGGCAGCCACCCCATAGGCCTGGCATTGTTAACCTGCAGGCACCTCTGCTGCTCAGAGGCTTGGGAGAACCTGCCCCTGGTACCATGCTCCCCTTGATGGGCCCCATTGTGAACAAGATCCAGTGGGGCTGGGGGAGCAGAGAGATGGAGATGAAGAGTGGCAATGGGAAACTTGAAGGTTGGTGCATGAGGAAGACATTAAAGAAAGCATCATGGAAGGGAGGAAGAAACAGAAGAGATAGTGAGACAGGAATTGAGGGGAGTGAAGAATGTAGACATTGAAAGAATGAGATGGGTGAAATTGGGGCAGGTGGGAAGAATGGTGCTAGGAGGAAAAGGACCCCTCCATTCTCTCCTCTCCCGGTCTCCTCTTTCCTCTAAGGCTCTCTGTTTTGTCTCCTTCCTTCCCAGAATATCATCCGCAAGGTGAGCGGCCAGAAGTTTGTCTACAAGTTTGTATCCTACCCCGATATCGCAGGGTGCTCCACTGAAGACTGTCCACCCCAGCCTGAGGTGTCTGTTACCTCTGCCGTGGCCAATGTGACCCCTGCTACTGTACATGCCACCCCTGGGGACACTGCCTGTGGCAAACCAGGCACACCCAAGGGTACAGGAATAGCAGGCCCAGGTGGTTTGGCACGCAGCAGCCGCAACGAGTACATGCGCTCCGGTCTCTACTCGACCTTCACCATTCAGTCCCTGCAGCCACAGCCACCCTCTCACCTCCGATCTGCCTTGGTGCTCCCCAACACCACCTCTGGAGGAGCAGCAGCGCCCCCCTCAGGGAGCAGGAGCGCCAGTCCAAACCCCTTGGAGGCCTGCCTAGAGACAGAGGAGGCTGGCCTGCCTCTGCAGGTAAGGACTGGAATGTGAAAGTTCCCTAAGAGGGGGGCTGTACAGTTCCAGAATGAGCAGGAAGGCTGGTACAAGAGGTGCAGAAGTCCCCTTGGAGAGACTGGCACTGTGATGCAGTGAGTTAAGCAATCACTTGGAATGCTACCTTTCTCATTAGAGCACTAATTCAAGTCCCAGCTACTTTTCCACCACTCCAGCTCCCCACTAATGCACATGGGAAAGCGACAGGTGATGGCCCAGATGTGTGGACCCCTGCCACTCACATTGGAGATTCAGTTGGAATTCCTGGCTCTTGGCTTCAGCCTGACCCAACCCTGGCAATTGCAGTCATTTGGGGAGTAAACCACTGAATGGAAGATCTTTCTGTCTCTGTCTCGCCTTCTCTCTGTAAATCTGCCTTTCCAATAAAAATAACTGTTGAAAAAGAAAGAAACTGCCCTCTAGAGGCAAGGCAGACTCTAAACAATTACTAGTATATCCTGCTGTGCCTGGGTTAATGGTCTCTATATCTGTCACTCTGTCTTTTAAATAAATAAAATATATCTTTAAAAAGAAGACCCCTTGGAGAAAGGGGTGGAAAGGAGAGCTCTACAAATCTTAAGATGGAAAATAAATGTCCTACAATTCAGTGTTACCTGCATGTTGTGGCTGCCATGAACGCGGGCTCTCACTTCAGTGCTTGTCAGGACCATCCAGAGGGCCTGTTAACACATGGCTGGGGCTCACCTGCAGAGTTTCTGATTGCATAGGTCTGGGGAGGGGAACTTCCATTTTTTTTTAAAATGTGTTACCTTGAAAGAGAAACAGAAAGCTACCTTCCTCTGGTTCACTGCCCAAATGCCCATAATAACCAATGTTGGGTCAAAGCAAAGCCGGGAACCAGAAATTCAGTCTGGGTTTTCAGCTTGGGTGCCAGGGACCTGTGCGTTGAACTATGGCCTGCTGCCTTCCTGAGTACACATTGGCAGGAGGCTGAAAGCAGAGCTGGGACTCACGTCTAGGCACTCAGATGTGGAATACAACCCATTGCTGCTAACTGGATGTCCAACCCAAAATTCAGCACAACTGGTTTGTCAATAAAATTTTGAGGACCCCTGTTTAGTGCATGAGGCAGGACATTGTCAGTTGTCACAGCTGGGCATGGGCGTCTCACCCAAGGCCACTGCCCCTGCAGAAATCCCACTTCCCTAAAGTAGTCCTGTGTCCTGTGGGAAGATCTGCACTTATGCAGAGTTGAGCCCCAAACATCAAGTTCCAGGGAAATCATTGGGTAGCTCATGAGAGCAAGCTGTTCTACCTAAACCAGTTTACCTACCCACTCTGCAACCACCCCTCTCCTAGGTCATCTTGACCCCTCCCGAGGCCCCGAACATGAAATCCGAAGAGCTGGATGTGGAGCCTGGTGTGGGCCGGCCACTGCCCCCAGAAGTCAAAGTGGATGGGCCCAAAGAAGAGTTGGAAGGCATGATGGAGGCAGGGTTTGTCCCAGAAACCACCAAGGCTGAGGCAGAAGTTCCTCCAACAGAAGGTGGGCCAGCCCGGCTGCCTGCAGTCTCTAGGGAGACTGCAGCGCCAGCGGGTAGCCTGGCAGCCTCTAGCCCTGAGAGTTCCCAGCCACAGAAGGGCCGGAAACCACGGGACCTGGAGCTTCCACTCAGCCCAAGCCTGCTTGGTGGGCCGGGACCCGATCGGACTCCAGGTTCTGGAACTAGTTCTGGTCTGCAGGCACCAGGACCAGCTCTGACGCCTTCTCTACTACCTACGCATACACTGGTGAGTGCCTGTGAATGAGGCAGGCCTGGCAGCCAGGGTGGATGGGATTGGTGCTAGGCAGGTGATTTACAGGACTTCAAAGGAGGAGGATGTGGTCACTGAAGAGGTTGAGCCTTGCAGTGCAATTAGCAGCCGTGAGACTTACCTGGGAGGACTGGAACTAAGTTGAAAGGCAGGTCTGGGGACTTCTATGGGCAGGATTGAGGGGCTGCCTGATGTTCTGTAGGAACTGTTTCCAGATTAGACTGTGGCTTAAAGATTCTGAGTGGGGCTTTGGGGTCTGGGATTGGCCAATTGGCTCTCCTGTCAGGTATCTGAGTGGGACATACAAGTTGGAGGTTAACCCTGAGCCACTGGGATTGTGCTTTGTGAGATGTGAGGACAAGGAGTGGCTAAGTTTTTGGGGGTGAGTGCTCAGGAGTTGGGAGGGGGTGTCTAAATTTTGGGAGCTGTCAGGGGCATGGCCTTAGTAGTTATGGTCTAGGTCTGTCAACTTTTGGGGAGTGAACTTAGGAGTCCAAGGGGAAAATTGGTGGTACGGCTGTGACCAAGGTCCTTCCGTGTCTCATGCCTGTGTGCCCTGTGCTCACTGTGAGTACCCCTTCCCTGCAGACCCCGGTGCTGCTGACTCCCAGTTCGCTGCCTCCCAGCATTCACTTCTGGAGCACCCTGAGTCCTATTGCACCCCGTAGTCCGGCTAAGCTCTCCTTCCAGGTAGGATGCCTTCCTCTCCCATCTTGGGGAGGGTGAGAGACCCTAGAACGACCCCCCCATCCATGACCTCTCCCTGTTTCTGTCCCCTCCCCCCCCAGTTTCCTTCCAGTGGCAGCGCCCAGGTGCACATCCCTTCCATCAGCGTGGATGGCCTCTCAACCCCCGTGGTGCTCTCCCCAGGGCCTCAGAAGCCATGACTTCCACCACCACCACCATCCCCTTCTGGGGTCACACCATCCATGTCCTTGAAATTCTCTCCAGCCAGCCATCTCAAGGAGAAGCATAATTCAACTGACAGACTCACGCTCTGGTTGTGGTGGGGTGGGGGATTCTTGGGAAGAAGCTCTCCCACTAGCTCTTCTATAAAACACCCACGACTTCTGTGCTCTTTGTCAGTCCCCCAGTGGCCGCCCTGGCACGTCTCCTACTTCAAGGGTAGGGGCGGTTTATTTATTTATTTTTTGAAGGCCACTGGGAGGAGCCTGGCCCAATCCTTTTAGGGGAATGGTTAAGATGTCTCCCCTGCGTCCCCACTTTTTCCCCTCCGAGACGAGACAATCAGGGTCTGGCTTGAGATAGACATTTCCTTATTTATTTCTCAGCCTACCCTTGGGGAGATGAGGGAGCCCTGTCTCTATTTTGGGATTTGGGTAGAAAAGCTAAGCTTGTTGCATTTTTTTTTTCAATTATTATTATTATTGTTGTTGTTGTTGTTGTTATTCCTGGCCACCTCTTAGAGTCCAGGGAAAAACAAATTGTACCATTTAATGGTTTGGGAGTCTTGGCCAAGCAAGAATCACACCTTTGAAATGGGTATTTCCACCTCCGCCTTTCTCTCAGACAACTTGTTCTATTTTCAACCAACATTCTGGCCAGGGAGGAATGCCCTGTTGTTCTTCTCCCCCCTGAGAAGCCATTCCTTTGTCTGCCAAACTCCCTGGGGTCCTGTGTGTTACCTCCCAATGGAGGATTTTTCTGGAGGAATGGTCCCCGTCTGGGGGACCCCTCCAACCTGTACTCCAGGTCTCCCTGTCTCCCACCCCTGCCATTTTGATAGTATAATCTATTTTTAAATGGGGCTTTTCAACAGGGGAGATGGGGGCATCTCTTCCTATATCAATGGGGTGGGTGGGAAGGAAGGGATTTGGGGGGGATCTTCCTGTCACCCCCAAGTGTTTATTTTTGATACCAAACATGTATTTTCAGCTCCCTCCCAGCCCCCCAATTTCCTGCGGGCGGGTACAAAGGACTCTAAGTGTCCCTGGAGTTGGGAGGGAAGACTGGGGGACATAAAACCTGTTCTGTCACAATTCCAGGCTGGAGAGGATGGGTTCAATAAAACTCCTGGGCTCACCTCCCATCAGCACCAGCCTAGTCCAGGCCTGCGGGTCTGGGGGTTGGTGATTTGGGGGACGGTGCTACACTCGTCTCCACTGTTTTACTTCCCCAAAATGGACCTTTTTTTTTCTAAGAGTCCCAGAGAATGGGGAATTGTTCCTGTAAATATATATTTTTAAAGGTGTTGCTGGAGGCTGCTGCCATTTTTTTTCCCTCTGATGTTGTCAGGACTGAGTGTGACAGGCATGATTTGGTGTAAAGGCAACGAGAGTGTGAAGCAGGGGTTGATTGTGAGAAAAAGTACCACGACATTAGGTATCCAAAATAATAGTGGCTCCAGATTGACAGCCAAGTGTGAGAAATATGGGAAGCTATGATTGTGTTTATGTGTGTGTGAGAGAGAGAGGGAGAGAGAATGAAGAAGGAGAGGGAAGGAAGAAGTTATGAACACAAACTTTTGATAGTGTGTCTTAATGGGAAATCATGTGTTTCAGGAAATCTCTCTGACTGAATGATTAAGATCCTGTAGAGAGGGAAGGTACTTAGCTTTAACAGTTAGGCCACAGGTTAGGATACCTGGTAATGCACATTGAAATACAATCCTGACTCCAAATTTCTGCTGTTGCATCCCCGAGGAAGCAAGTAGTAGAGTCCCCGACATTGATGCGCCAGACCTTGTTTGAGTGCCTGGCCCAGCCCAGTGCAGCCCAGCCCAGTCTGGCCACTGTAGGCATTTAGAGAGTGAGTTGGCATATAGGAGCACTCTTATTTTTTTATTATTTTTTTATTGAAAAGTCAGATACACAGAGAGGAGGAGAGACAGAGAGGAAGATCTTCTGTCTGATGATTCACTCCCCAAGTAAGCGCAATAGCTGGTGCTATACCAATCTGAAACCAGGAGCCAGGGACTTCTTCCAGGTCTCCCACGTAGTGCAGAGTCCCAAGGCTTTGGGCCGTCCTCACCTGCTTTCCCAGGCCACGAGCAGGGAGCTGGATGGGAAGTGGAGCTGCCAGGATTAGAACCGGTGCCCATATGGGATCCCAGCACATTCAAGGCAAGGACTTTTAGTTGCTAGGCCACGCCACCGGGCCCAGGAGCACTCTTTTAAATAAACGTAAAAATGCATATATATCTGCTGTTCCTAAAATCTACCAATGGCAATGTTTTTTGAAGACTTGTGATGCTACATAGACAATGTTTATGAGAAGGGAGTAAGGACTGCAGATTTGACACTATGCAGTCTGATGAGCAGGACCAACTGAGTGACCAAAATAGTGTGCAAGAGGTGGTTAGAGGAAATGGGTAGAGATTTGGGGGACCATGTACGGGTGGCAAATTTAACTGTGTGTAAGCAAGCTACTCTGAACAGTTGTCAGACTATTATTGCAAGGCTATAGTATCTACATGGCACCAGCATACCTGTGAGAATTTAAGAGACAATAAGCAGGACCAAGTGGTGGCTGAGACCCAAGATAGAAAAATGGTTCGTGAAAGGCGGAAGACAAGATTGAAAAAGAGCTGGTGATGGGAAGAGTGTAGGGTCGCAGTCATATGACCCTGAGATTATTGCTAACGATCAGCAGTTCCTGCTACAATCTCTCAGAATTTTACAAGACTGAATGAAGGGGTGTGAGAGAGGAAGTGAACTGTTGGTGAGGGAACTAGAAGTAGCGATATCTGGAAGTCAGTGACTGGAAGAGAAACTTGAAAACTGAGCAGCATATGTGTGTGTGTGAAGACTCAGGAAATCTATGTGAGAAAACGACACTGCGCCCTCATCAGGTGATGTGAGAAATTGATGCGACTGCAGTAATTCACATGTATATGAGGGGACTTGAAAAAGTTTATAGAAAAAGTTTATAGAAGGGGGCCGGGCAGCATGGCCTAGCGGCTAAAGTCCTCACCTTGAACGCCCCAGTATCCCATATGGGCGCTGGTTCTAGTCCCGGCAGCTCCACTTCCCATCCAGTTCCCTGCTTGTGGCCTGGGAAAGCAGGTGAGGACAGCCCAAAGCTTTGGGGACCCTGCACCCATGTAGGATACTCGGAAGAAATTCCTGGCTTCGGATCTGCATAGCATCGGCCATTGCACTCACTTGGGGAGTGAATCATCGGACGGAAGATCTTCCTCTCTGTCTCCTCCTCTCTGTGTATCTGACTTTCCAATAAATAAATAAATCTTTAAAAAAAAATCTTTAAAAAAAAAGTTTATAGAAGGGTGAACATTTGGCACAGTGGGTAAGGTACTGCCCAGGGTGCCTGTATGCCTTTTCAGAATGCCTAGGTTTGAGTCTTGGCTCTACATCCAGTTTTAGCTTCCTGCTAATGCACACCCTGGAAGCAGTGGGGTGATGGCTCAAGCACTTAGACTTCTGCCACCTATGTAGGAGACCTAGATGGAGTTCTTGGCTGCTGGCTTCAGCCTGGCACTCGGAAAGTGGAGGAAAGGGCTCTTAGGCTCACTGGCTTTTGCTCTCCCACCTCTCTTAAATGGAAAGAAATAAAGTGTAAATCGTTGTTTGGAATCCACACTTTAAAAACATGAGAGAAAAGCAGACTACGAGGGAAAAGATAGTATGCAACCCTGACTGTCCCATAGGAGGTAACTGCACTAGCATCCGAGAGCATGATGGTATACATATGTGTAAAACTCAGAGGCATACATGTATCTGGACCAACTGTGTCGAGAGCTGATTGAGACTAACTAAAAGACCTGAATGATAAAGATGGAGTGTGATATCCAATATAGTGGTTCTGTTGTATGAAAATCATAGGAAACTGTAAGAGACACTGGAAGCCGGGACCGTGGGATGTGAACTAAAAGTGGCTTGAGTGAGAAGGGCTAGGAGAGAAAGGTGTTCTTGTGTGTGGGTGAGAAACATAAACAACTCACAGTGACTAGAAATCAGTGACTGTTGTTGGTGTAGATGAGGAAGCAGCAGGCTAAATGAATGGCTGCCACATGTTAGGAGCTGATACCACTCTGTGTGAGAGAGACTGGTGAGAGAACCCTGGCAGGGCTGCACCAGTAAACGGGCTATAAGAGCCGGTGGTATGTTTGAAACTGCTAGGAGACTGCAGTGGGGCCAAGGGTCAAGGGTGGAAGATGAGTCCCTGAGGAGGGAGTGACCAAATATCCGAAAGACTATTGTGGCTATGTATGGGAACGTGTTCCTAAAAGACACCAGCGGAGGCTGTAAGTGTGGATAGAGAAGAAAATGTGAAGGAAAACAAGTTCGAAAGCATCTACGGAGACCACAAATCAAGCCTGAGATGCAGGGAAAGCCCTCTGCTCTTCGTCCTCTCCCTCTGCAGGCCCCTTCCCAGTTCTCTAAAGCTTGAAACGCTGGAGTTCCCCCAGACCTTGCAAGAGTCCCTCCTTCTCTTGTTCCTAATGGTCTTATCCAGTCCAGGAAGTAAAACTTGAAAAACTGCTCATTTCCTAAGTCCTGCCCAGATGCTAACGTCCAACTCGCCATTCTTAGTACTTGTCAGCATCTTGTATCCCAGGAACAGGTCCGTTCTGCAGATATTTTCTTGAGCACCAACTATTTGTTGGTCCCCATCCAATGCCCTGCAGACTCAGCAGTTAACACACTAGGCATAAACTCCTGTTGTTCACAGAGCTGCTATTTAGTGAGGGAGACCAACAAGAAAATACATCACACCAGGCAGTGACAGAAGACCAGAAAGACTGACTGACTCTCTCAGTGTTCCCCACAGTCACTGCCACAATGTATGAGAGAAGATGAAAGGGCCAGCATTCCTCTTCCATCAGGAATCCTATGAATATGCAGTGGAAGAACAGAGAAAATAGTGGTTTCTAACATTATCACCAGGGCAACCAGTGATTCCATAAGACAGCCAGTGAGAACTGCAGGTTTCTTGGGTAGTTTGTTTTCACAGGCTAACCAGCACTTACCCTTTAAATCTTAGACTCTTGAAAAGACTTTTGTTCTATGCACACTCTCAAAGACAAGCTAAGATTATGTGAGAACAGAGTATATCCGTAATGAATACAAATATTAACACACACCTTATCACCTGTAAAACAAGATCAAGATTCTTGAGGGATTTATTTTACTACTTGGCCAGATTCTTTGGTTTTGGTTTTTAGAATGGTATTTCTCCATTAATATAAACGACATGAGTTGTTGGCCTCTGTTTTTCTTAGGCTCTTTTTTTCCTTTTCATTAAAGAAGTCATCTCTGGAAACTTACAAGATCTCCTCTCCCGCCCAAACACACACACCGTTTTTTTTTTTTTTTTTTAAAGACAAAACAGATCTGTGGAGCTCAGTCTTACCTGCATGAAAAATGGGCTGAAGAGGAATTAACAGTAAAATAAGTATAGAAAATTCTCTCTAGATGGCAATCACAGAAAAATAAAGGATCAAGGATTAGAACAGTGGTTCATTCAAGTGTGGTCCTAGACAATATCATCAGTCTAACCTAGGAGCTTGTTAGAAATACACATTTTTTTCCTAAGATTTATTTATTAGAGCAAGAGTGAGAGAGCTTGCAGTGCTAATCCACTCTCTAAATGGCCATGTGGGAGCAAGGAGCCCCAGCTGCGTCTTCCCATGGGGCAGGGGCCCAAGTACTCAGGCCACCATCTGCTGCCTTCCCAGGTATATTAGCAGGAAGCTGGATTGGAAGCAAAGCAGCCAAGGCTCAAACCAGCACTCTACTGTAGGATTCTGGCTTCACAGGTAGGAGCTTGACTCACTGTGCCACAACATCAGATACCGAAGTAGATTTTTGATCCGCACTCCACACCTAGCGGATGGGAAACCTGGGTACGAATCAGCAGTCTGCATTTTAACAAGTTGTTTGGGCAAATATGAAACATTAGCACTTGAAGAACCACTGGGCCGAAGAGTAACAGGGGTACCCTGCAACAGTGGTAGCTTAGGGAAGGCCTCTGTGAGATAGGTGGCATCTATTATCAGTCTTCTCTGAAAGGTATAAGGCCCTCCGGGGCCAGGAATTGTGTCCCATTCTTCCACCTAGCTGCAAAGAAGTGCATCTGGCATCTAGTAGGTGCTCAACAAATACTGAACAAATAAATGAACAGAACACTTGCTCTACAGCAGACACTGTCCTCAATAAACCGTGCCTGTGTGGTAGGTGCTGTCCATGTGTATATTTTATAGTGAGGGGGGCAGCAGGCTCAGGGAGGGGGTGCATACTGCTCCAGGATATTCTGCTGGAGGCGACCCAACAGGCTCCCTCCTAAGCACTCTCCCTCCCGCCCCCCAGGCCCCACAGGTCTGTCCAGGGGCAGAAGAAAGGCCCAGTCTACTCTTGCTGAACCCTTCCCCACCATTCTGCTGCTTCCTCTTCTCACTTCCCCTGTCAACAGGGCCAGGTCCTGTGTTGACCGCAGGGGACCTCACTTCCAGCAAAGGGAAGGGCAGAAGGAAAAGCAGTCACCCCAGAGCCGCCCCTCCCCCTCCTCCCACCAAGACGGCCGTGATCCCCTCAGCCCCTGGTCACCCCTCCCCAGAGGTGGCCCTCAGGGTAGTGGTAGGGATTGTAGCAATCAGCAAGCAAACTGAGACCCAGAGAGGTTTAAGCAACATGCCTAAGGTCATGCCCCATGTCCCCTGTGAAGTTGTCCAGGGAGCGGTGATTAGACACTTCGATAAGGCTTCTAGGCAGAACATGAAGTGCTGGAGATACGGTGACAAACAAAACAGGCCCAAGGCTGAGGCAGGAAATGGGATGGGAAAAGAGAAGGAAGCAGAGGTGATAGGGAAGAGGTCAGAGCAGAAGTGGCCTGCATCACACCCTCCCAGTTCCTCCTGCTGCAGATTCCTCTTTACCACTGACTGGGAGCAGGTCATCCCGCAGGCTGGCAGACCTCCTCTCTGCCACGGGTACAGGTGCATACTGCTCAAGATGCCCGCCCAATCACAGCCTCCTGTGTCGCTGCTGCCACTGCTGCTGCTGCTCTTCACCCTGCCAGCCAGCGGTGAGTGGATGAGGGCCCACCTCCCCCCCTTTCCCTGGGGATGTCCAGGGTGCCCACTACATGCCTGACTATGCCACCTGGCCCTGTTAACAGGCTCGGACCCTGTAGTCTGCTTCATGCAGTATGAAGAATCCAGCGGCAAATGCAAGGATCTCCTTGGGGAAGGCATCAGTGAGGAAGAGTGCTGTCTCAATCCTGCCTATGCCTTTCGGAAAGCTGGCAGCGAGCTCTGCCAGGCATGCAGGTTGGGGAGAGCCTGGGGCTGGGGACAGACCAAAAGGTTATCTGGAAGTAACAAAAAACTGGGCTCTTTTCTGGGATTTTGAAGGTTGCACCCAGCTCCCTGGTCATGACCATAGCTTAGGGTTTCTCCACCTTGGCACCATCTATAGTGTTTGGGGCTGGAAAAATCTTGGTTTGGGGAGATGGCGTTGCATTGGTGCTGCTCACTACTTTGTAGGAAGATCTTGTAACATCTCTGGTCTCCCACTAGATGCCAGTAGCAATCCTCCTCACTAGTGACAACCAAAAATGACCCCAGACATTGCAAAATGTCCTTTGGGTGGAAGGCAGGGAGCAAAATTTGTTCCTGATTGGGAATTACTGCTGTAGTTCACAAATATTGAGTGCTTCCTGCATGCTGGAAGCATGGGGGACAGGGAGCAGGCTGGAGGAGGAGGTTCAGCTTGATTGTGAAGGCAGCTTTAGTCCCCAAGTTGCTGTGGCGCATCCTAATTATCAAGTATTTATCATTTATGAACACACTGTAGGGGTGGAAAAGTGTGGATAATTCTGAGGGCAACTCTGGCCCCTGATTCTCGTGCCACGTCATCTTCATTGAGCACCTCCTGCGTACTAGATGCCTTGCAGGGGCGAGGAGGCAGCTTAAGGATTTCAGAGGGTAACTCTACTCTCCTTATCACCATTTCCTGCTTACATGCTTTGAGCTCTTCCTGTGTTCTAGAATAATCCAGCAAAACTGTAGGGGTAAGGAGGTTGGGGATTTCTGAGGCCATCTCCGGGCCCTTGGTTGTGTTAACAGTTCCCTTCAGTTTATTAGTGTTAACACCACAGCTGGTGCTGTTCAGTGGGTTGGGGACAGGTCAGGGACATTTCTGAGGGGCCTCTGAGGTCACTGGAATAACGCCTTGTAGTAAGTACTCGCCATCTTCCTGCAACCAATGCACGGTGTTGACCTGGAGGCGGGGCGTCTCTGACAGAACTTCCAGGCTCTCTAGTCTAGGTTTGCTTACTGCACACTTGATACTGTCTTTGTGAGGCTTCTAAGGCAAACTCGAGGGCCTTCCATTAATAAATGGCATTTATTAAACACTTAATGTATGCCTACCTCTTCCCATTCAGTTCCCCAACATTGGTAAGAAGGAGGTACTGGGTGATCTATCCTATGTCCATTCACCCAGCACCCCCTCATAAGCCAACCCATATACCCTGGCATCCCAAACGCCATCTTCAGCAGCACTCCCTAGGGTGGGACACTTGTGTTTACCCCCACAGGTCCCCAAAATGGTCCCAGTGGTCTGCGTGGGCGCCCTGCTCAGTGTCGTGTTCTGAGGGTTCCCAGCTGCGGCACCGGCGCTGCATGGGCAGAGATGGGGAGTGCCCAGAGAAAGCAGCTCCAGGGAGCCTCCAGTGGGAACTCCAGGCCTGTGAGGACCAGCCGTGCTGTCCCGGTGAGGAGGCTCAGCAAGACAGGAAAATACCTGCATGGTCAGTGCAGAGGCTTTGAGGGTGGGCCCAGGCCCCTGTGCTCACAGGGCACTAAAGAGCAGGCAGCAATGGTGGGAGGTGAGGCCAGAGAGCGAGCAGGGCCTAATCTTAGGAGACCAAAGAGAAGATGCTGGTGCCTGAGAGAGTTAGGTTCTCTGCAGGGAGAGAAATGTTGTCTGACTCAAAAGCGAAGAAGACAAACTTTGGATGGGGTAAATCCAGAAGGCTGGTGTGAAGTTGCTACAACAGTGCAGATGAGCAGTGATGGGCTGGGTGTGGTGGTACAGTCAGGGGAAGGGACAAGATGAGTGACTGTGTAATATATGAGGAAATAACAAGCCCTGTGGGCACCCCTGTCTTTCTCCCATGCCCCTCCTCTCCCACAGAAATGGGTGGCTGGTCTGACTGGAGTGCCTGGCAGCCTTGCTCTGTCACCTGCTCCAAAGGGACTCGGACCCGTAAGCGAGCATGTGATCGCCCTGCCCCCAAGTGTGGGGGTCACTGCCCAGGAGAGGCACACGATTCGGAAGTCTGTGATACCCAGCAGGTCTGCCCCAGTGAGTACAGACTGTGCAGGCACCCTGATGAGGGCATCCAGGGTGGCTCTGTGGAAGGACAGTAGGGAGCTTCTGAGGTGAGATGACTCCAGCAAACATAACCACACTTGCATCCTCCCATTACCACCACCACCACAGCCCACGGGGCCTGGGCTGCCTGGAGTCCCTGGAGCACGTGCTCGGGTACCTGCCTCGGCGGACCTCAATCAGCAAAGGAGACAAGAAGCCGCAAATGTTCTGCACCTGAGCCCTCCAAGCAGCCGCCAGGGAAGCCCTGCCCAGGGTCAGCCTATGAACAACGGAGCTGCACTGGCCTGCCACCCTGCCCAGGTACACGTGAGCTCTTGATGGCATGCATAGCCACGGAGACAGTCTCCCTCAAGGGTCTTAGAGGCTGGGGGTGGGGGAGTGAAAAAGCCTTCTCACTTTTTTCCCCACTCCCTGCCAACAGTGCCTGGAGGTTGGGGACCATGGGGCCCTGTGAGCCCCTGCCCAGTGACCTGTGGCTTGGGTAAAACCCTTGAGCAACGGAAATGTGATCATCCTGTGCCCCAGCATGGAGGCCCCACTTGTCCCGGTGATGCCACCCGGACCCACGTCTGCAAGACAGCCACACATTGTCCTGGTCAGCACACCTGAGCCCTGCCACCACTGCCTCGCTCTGCTGCTGAGGCTTCATTCCAGCTTCGAATGCCTCCTTTCCCAGTCCTGCTAGCTTGGTTCTACCTGTCATCCGCCAGTCCCCCAAGCTTATAATCCTCATTCCCTCACAACAGCCCACATCCCTTACCCCTCTCTAACTCCACTTGTGAGCACTTTGCTTTGAGCTGAGTCCCCTATCTCTGCAGTGAATGGAGAGTGGGAGGACTGGGGAAAGTGGAATGAATGCGTCCGCCACGGCATGAGCTCCATCAAGTGCCAGGAAATCCCAGGCCAGCAGACACGCAGTAGGACCTGCAAAGGCCGCAAGTTTGAAGGACAGAGATGTCCTGGAGATATCCAGGATAGCCGGCAATGCTACAACATCCAGAACTGCCCCTGTGAGTTCCCTACCCCCTGCACCCACGGACTGCACTGCACAGGGAGCAAGGGTTTCCCGGCTCTCCACTGGGCGCCCGTGTCCCTGAAGCCTCCTGCTTACCTTCACACTGAGACTTTCCATTCTGAATCTGTGGCCAACCTCTCCACCCCTTTTCACTGCAGTGAAAGGCTTCTGGTCTGAGTGGAGTACCTGGGGGTTGTGCAAGCCCCCTTGTGGATCCAACCCCACCCGCACGCGCCAGCGCCTCTGCACAGCTCTGCTTCCTAAGTACCCGTGAGTGAGAGGGCACAGTGTGCCTACCAGTGGGCGATGGCATTAAAGACTAGACAATCAGATAACCTCAACCATAGCTTCCACCACCAGTGGGTCTAAAGAGCCTAACTTTTGGAGCTATCTCCCAGCTGCAGCAAGAAGGGAGAAATGGAAAAAGAGAAAGAAGATAATAGGGTAGGACTCGTAACCTCTGGGCTCCTCGATCACTCAGTCTCTTAGCTATCCTCCCATTAACTCAGTCCTTTGTGTGTCCATTCACTCTGACCTCTCCGTAACCCACACTCTGAGTTTCTTATTCACTTAGTCATTCAGGCCTCCACTCATTCCTACAGTTGCCCAGATCTCCATTCACTCACTCCACATCTCGGGCCCCAAGGTCCTCCAAGGCCTTTTTAGCAACTGATGTAGACACAAAGAACCCAGATCTCATGGATGCCCTACCCACCCCCTCCCTGCCTCTGCAGGGTGAGCGCAGCGTTGATGGAAGCAGATAAAGAATGGCTATTTGCAAAGGGACTTCCTCCTCAGTCCGGATCCCATAAGTTAATCAGACCCACCCATCCCCAGGAATCAAAGGTTCTGGAAAGCAATTATGTGGACATTAAGAACATAACCAGAATTATGGACACACAGGATTGGCAGCCCCACGAGTTTCCTGGTGACCAGAGTGACCCAGGTTAAGACATGCATGCTTTGCTTTCATCCACACACATCAAGCTACTAGATTAAGTAGGTTGTTCCAGTTCATGGAAGGCCTGCCATCTGTGAAGTGCTCTGGCTGTGGCTTAGAGTGGATCTTCAATATGAGAAGTGTTGAATGGAGGCACAAAGGATTTGAATGAGCAAGAGACTGAACAGAGGAAGGATCAATCGAGAGAATCAGTAGGAATGAAGGGAGGGGGGCTGGCTAGTGGGAAAAATAACCAAGGAAGAAGCCTTTCTGTGCATAAGATTGAGCTGGGGTAAATGCAGGGGAGAAAGCTATTGCCTTGGGACAGGGATTCGGGTCCAACAAAGTCTTGAATTTCAGGACAGAGCACTTGGATTTCCCGCCCTCCCAGGGGGAAAGAATCAGTTTTGAAGTAAGAGAAGCTAGCTCATGTCACCAAGTGACAATCACCAGCATTTATTGAGCAAATACTGTGTGCCAGGTGCTGCTCTGAGCACTTTACTAGAATCAACTCTTTGATTCTTACTTAGCCTGATGAGCTAGGAATTAATGCCATTATTATTCCTATCATTCCCCTACGCAGATGAGGCACAGGGAAGGTGCAGAAATTGTGTTGAACAGATAGCAATTGCTCATGAAGAGTTTGTTGAATGTATTGTCACCTTTGATGAGCTTCTCACCTCCTTCCCCTTCTCCCAACACCCCAGGCCCACCGTTACCTTGGTCGAAGGTCAGGGTGAGAAGAATGTCACCTTCTGGGGGAGACCGCTTGCAAGATGCGAGGAGCTGCAAGGGCAGAAGCTGGTGGTGGAGGAGAAACGGCTTTGTCTACACGTGCCTGCCTGCAAAGACCCTGAAGAGAAACCCTGACCCCTGCCCCTTGTACTCTGACCCACTGATCTCCCACACCTCAATAAAGCAGTACCTGAGAGCTCTTCTAAGCACCATTAACCAAGAGAAAACCATATGTCCCCTTCCCTAGAGTGAGGCAGTTGCATCTAACAGGGCAAAGTCATTGTAGCCTAGTGATTTTTCCACTGTGGCCATAGCTTAGCAGAAGTCAAAACAAGTGTCTTGCTCCAGCCTCCTTTCCCTGTGGTAACCTGGATGTCTAGGGCCACCCAGCAGAGCTCTGTATTACCAGTTTGATGATTGGCTACTAATCCTGGCAGGATTTTCTTGGTTGGTCTGTGGGCTTGTTAGTTGCCATCCTCCCCTCCTCCTAGCCTCCTGCCCTGCAGAGCTTGGCCATTGCTGGCTCCCTGTTGTGCGAGCACCTGAATCCACCCACTCCCAGCAGCCTAGCTCCAAAGCAGCAATTACAGGCGAGAAATAGCTCCAAGGCAGCAGCAGAGTGTGGGAGGGGGAGGCCAAGGAAGAGCCTGAGATGTGCCTCTAGGACAAGGAAAACTGTAGGCAGCATCTGCCTGGAAAGAGCTCCCAAGACAAACCCAAACATATTCCTTGAGCATTCGTTCATTCAACACTTATTAGCGTCTACTGTATACTAGAGCTGTGTCTGGACATCTGGAGTGGAGGTGGAGGAGGGCTGATAGGACATTTTGAGTGAGGGAACAGATTCAGAATTGGTATTTCTTGCGCTTGCACGTGCAACACTTAACGCCTACTGTATACTAATAATAGTGCTAGACATCACGGGGACAGGGAAGAAGAATCAGAACAGCACATGCCTCCACAGGGAAGAGAACAAGCCTAGAAGCCACCACTTTTAACATTTGTTCATTCATTTGCCATGTGCTGGGGCTCTTATGATGAGCTGCCTCATAAGAATTTGCATAATAATTATGGTAATAGCTAATCCTTAGAAAGTCTTTGCTGTGAAGCTTTCCATAGCATGAGCCAATTTAATCCACGATAAGCCCATGACGGTCATTATTGCTGTCATCTTCCTTTCACGATGGAGGAAGCAGGCATAGGAAGGTAGCAAGCTGGACATTTCTCAAACACTATGGATTTTGACATGACCTTAAGCATCAGGAGCAGAGTTCAGGACTTGGTGCTGTGCGTGAAGGAGACCCCTCTGTGTGAGAAAGTTCCAGCAGGAGATTTGTACAGCCAAGAGTCTTGCCAGTGTTCTCCTGTGACTCCTCTGGGTTGACTTTCCCTTATGAAAAAATGGGCCAGTTGGTGATTTATAGAAATGAGTGGGTACTTGATCATCTGCAGAAGAATGGGCCAGAGTGAGGGATTCTAGGTGCTCCTACAGGGTGAGAGGTGTGTATTTATGAGAAAGCACAAGTTCAACTGTGTGTGCATAAATTACACATGTGGGGCCCTGCAGTGTAGCCTAGTGGCTAAAGTCCTCGTCTTGAACGTGCTGGGATCCCATATGGGTGCCAGTTCTAATCCCGGCAGCTCCACTTCTCATCCAGCTCCCTGCTTGTGGCCTGGGAAAGCAGTCAAGGATGGCCCAAAGCCTTGGGACCCTGCACCCATGTGGGATACCCGGAAGAAGTTCCCGGATCCTGGCTTCGGATTGGCATAGCATCAGCTGTTGCGCTCACTTTGGGAGCAAATCATCGGACGGAAGATCTTCCTCTCTGTCTCTCCTGCTCTCTGTATATCTGACTTTGTAATTAAAAAAAAATTACACATGTGTACGAGAGATGCTTATGTTGCATAGAGATGTATAAGAATGGAGGTGTTGAATGTGTGACATGTGATCACAATGTGTGTTATATGCCCATGAAGGTGGCATGGGTTACAAACATGAATACAGTACTGAGTGCGAACATTTGCCAAGAATGTGCATTTGACTTTCTACTACTCACCAATGCACAACAAAGAAAATCTCTCTTGAAGACCTTGTATACCCATTCATGCTGATGAACACGAGAACAGTTCAGAGGAGTTCATGGGAACAGTTCTGTCTCTGATCTTGAGGCATTCCTGGAAGGGGTACCTACATTCCACTACAAAACAATGTCCAAAGGCCATTTCTGGGAATTGGGCTACCCCTGGAAAAGGGGAATGGTACTAGGAGTCACTAGTATTAGGAACCTGGGAACCAGGCCCTTAGGACGAGACATAGTCTGAAGACAATCCTGCGGAGCTTGCATTCAGGCCTGGAGAAACCAAGAAGATCTGTAGACCTGAAACTGCTTCTGTCCCTCACGAAAAGAACTCACCACAGTCCCCGCACAGCTTGTTTGCCTTTATTACTAAGCAAAAAACTAAGGAACACAATACTTCAAAATATTGGAAAATGCTCACCTTACAGGATTCTCCCATTTGGTGTCTGCAAGAGTTTGGAATGCCAAAGAAGGTAACCTAGAGGGAGGAGAAAAGAGTAGCCAAAATAAAGGCGCTAAGGTGGATTTAAAACTGGATGGGATGGAGAAGGGAGAAGAAGATGGTTCCAGAAGTGTTAAACTATGGAGCTGTGGCAGCCTAGGGGAAGAAGGGACAGAGTCAGATTTGGAGACCTGGAAACCATGGTCAAAGAAGACTTTTGATAGAGGGAGAGGACATTCCTGGCTGAAATTATACAGCACGTGAAAAGGTCCAGAATTTGCTCCTTCCCTCCTCTCCTTAGAAGTAAACTAAGTAATTGCCCCCTTTTCATAGAAGAGGGAATAAGACACGTTCCCAAGGGTATAGTGAAACCCAAGTACTGGGTCTACAGACCCCACATTATTACTCCACTGTTTAAACTGGTCAATGACTTAATAATTAATGAATAAGTGGGTGGTTCATCTGCAAATCTTTCAGGCAAAAAGGCGTAAAATCTGCCTACATATTGTCTATTTTCTTCCACTGCACCTGCTCTGCCCTAAGTACTTACTATAGCCAAGGGTTTGTCCAAGGCTCTAGGTAACCATCCTGATCCCATCTCCTATCACAAGCCTCCTCTCCTTGTTCCAGGTTCCACTGACATTTGCTGCTCCCTCTTCCTAGCATAGTGTTAAAAAAACAAAAAATGTGAACATGAACCTTTTTGGAAATTAATTGAAACTGTTAGATTCCTTCATCTGTTAAGTGGCGATTATGTTTATCCACCCCATAAGATTGTTGGGGAGGTTGGATGAAACTATATAAACAGCTAAGTTTTGAGTATACAGTCAATCAACAAATGATTATTCATATAGTTGTGCTTTTATTGTAACCAAAATCTTAACAGTTTTGGCAGGCTGACTTCTACATACCGCATTTACTCATGTGAACACATTGTTTGGCACCTACTGTGTGTCTAAACTTGGGCCTGGCTATGTTGTGTTAAAATCCCTGGGTAAAGGAGGAGACAGCACGGACACTGCATCCATATCAGAGGAAGAGTGCATAGCGCCAGTCTGGCGGGAAGGAGTAGATGGACACAGGTCGAGCTAGAGCTGCAGAGAATGTGTATTACAGATACAGTGTTTCTCCATGGTTCCACGGGTGTGTGTTTTATCCAGGTGAGCATGCTCAAATAAGTTTGCTTAGTCTCTGTGTGTCAATGGGATTTCTGTGTATCTGCATGCATGTGTATATATGCCCATATGTGTTATTCTGATTTTGTATGTCTGAATTTATACTAATATGGGTGTGAATTCTGAGTTTCCTTACTTCTGTATGTGTTTTGTCACCTCGTGTGTGTCTCATTCCCTGTATGCTTCCAACCCTCACCCCACCAGGAGCAAGGGAGATACACCATCCAGGTATCCACCTGATCTGTCTGATGCTGGCCTCTATACCGCAGCACCCTACTCTCTGCCTAGCTAAGACGTAAAAGACTGGTCCTGCAGAAGACTGTGTGTGACTTCCCCCAACCCTTTCGAGAGGGTGTTAGTTCTCCACTTTTATGCCTCTTAAGTGCGTCTGCACTCCCACTCCCTAAATGCCTTCTGCAGTGAATATCAACAGTGGAAACTGAGTGTCCACGGAGGGTATCTGTGAGAGTGGGTGTGGGATGGTGTGACCTAGCAGACGACGGACCACGACGCTCCACACAAGCACCCTACCCCCACTCCCCAAATTGCGCATCCCCTATTGGAGGCGGGGGAGGGGAAACAGGATGCGGCGTGGCGCGTGCGCACTGCCAGCTTCAGCACCGCGGACAGCGCCTTCGCCCCCGCCTGCCGGCGCGCTCCACCAGCGCCCCAGCACTGAAGGCGCGCTGACGTCACTGGCTGTTCCTCTGCAAACTCCCCTTCCTGGCCTCCTTGGTCGCGTCCTCGCCACCGCCGGCCAAGCTGGACTGCACCATGCGAGGCGTGAGATAGGGGGACACGGGCGCGACCATCCGCGCTGCGGCGGCGGCGAGTCAGCGCTACCTCAGTCTGCGGCGGGCAGCAGAAGAGTCGTGTCGTGCCTGAGAGCGCGGCTGTGCTCTTGAGCCCCGCGCGGCCCGCCCCCGCGGCTCCTGGCCAAATTGCCCCTAGGACCCCCTGCCCCAAGCCGCAGCCATGAACTACCTGCGGCGCCGCCTGTCGGACAGCAACTTCATGGCCAATCTGCCGAATGGGTACATGACAGACCTGCAGCGCCCGCAGCCGCCCCCGCCGCCGCCCTCTGCTGCCAGCCCCGGAGCCACACCCGGTTCCACGACTGCCACTGCCGAGAGAACCTCCGCGGCCGCCCCAGTGGCCTCACCGGCAGCCCCTAGTCCTGGGTCCTCAGGAGGTGGTGGTTTCTTCTCGTCGTTGTCCAACGCGGTCAAGCAGACCACAGCGGCTGCGGCCGCCACCTTCAGCGAGCAGGTGGGCGGAGGCTCTGGGGGCGCAGGCCGCGGGGGCGCCGCCGCCAGGGTGCTGCTGGTCATCGATGAGCCCCACACCGACTGGTAAGCCATTGCCGCGGACGTCTCCCCGAGGGCCTGGGTTCCCATATAATTCCGCGGTGAATGAGCAATTACTGAGTGCCACTTGTGCATCTGATACCTGCCCCTTTTGCCCAAATTCTGCTCCTCTGAATCGTTACGCTGGGGGCTTCCAGTGTACCCCTACCCTTGTCACCTAACCTCCTCCATGGATACAGGGAGGAGTTGTGTATTGGGCACTGCTGTATACTTCTTCCCCAATCCACCTCCCCTAAATACTTTAGCTTCAATATATCTTATGAACTTCAAGAACTGAATGTACCCTGACGCGCCCCCCCACACACACATACACACAACCCTTGCCCTCAAAGGCCCTTGACCTCGAATGTATCTTAGGAGCTTTTTTTTTTTCTTTTTTAAATCAAATGCTTGCCCTATGCTTCATAGATGAATTCTTATCCTTCCCGAAGGCCTTAACTTCAATTTTGTGAGTATGTTTTGAAAGCCTGATTTCCGTCCTGTTGCCCTCAGGCCTGTCTCCAATGGATCTTATGAGCGTGCATCCATCTGTGCTATGTGTCCCACGCCAGCCCCCTCCCCAAAGACCCTTGGAAACTATTCAGTAAACGTTGATTGAGTATCCAGCTTCTCACCAGAAACTGTCTCTTTAATGGATCCCAGGAGTCTTGCCGAATACCTTCTGGGTGCCCCCACACACACATTCCAGGCCCTCTCCCAGAAGACCTCTTTTTCTAAAGGAAGGTTGAGGTTTGCTCATCCCAAAATCTCTTCTCAGGCAAATTATTTTTCTCCAGTGATATCCATGAGTGTTTTTGAGCCTTCTCTGTGTGACTCATCATCAGACTGTGCTCAAAGACCTTTCCCTGCAGTGGATGTAGAAAGAATTTATTGAGTGTCCCCTGCAAATGCCTTCTCTTTGGTGGGTGCCTCCAGCATTGATTCAGTGCCTGTGATGTGACTCTTCTCTAAAGAGTTTTTCTTCCAATGATTGAATATTCAGCAAGCAAATATTGACTGCCTGCTGTATCCTGCATCCTCGAGCCCTTTCCCCCAATGCCTTTTCCTCCAGTGAATTGAGTCAGCCTCATTGAGCACTTGTCTGTAGGACTCTACCTCAGATCTGCCTGTAAAAGCCTCTGCCTCCATTTACTCCAGTGCTCAAATATCTAGCATTTTCTGTGTGCACCATTTCAATCACCCTTCACAGAGATCTCTTGTTTTAGTCATTCTTGGGAGGACTTACAGAATTACCTGTTCTATGTCTTCTCTACAGAAGCCTTTCCTGTCATGATGGAGATGCAAGCTTATAATCTACATCACCATTCTCCTTCCCCAAAACAGTTCTCCTCCAAGGACCCTAGTAACCATTTAGCAATTGATTGCATGTCCCCATATCTAATGTCGTCCACCTCCAAGAGCCTTTTTTTTTTTCCAGTAGCTTCCATGAGCGTATATGGAGTGCTCACACCTCCTCACAAAGTCCTTTGCTTCCAGAGAAATCAATAAGTGTCCACTGCCATTCATTGCCCAGGAGAACCACCCCAATCCTAAGGCCTTTCTCCAGGGTCCTTTCAAATGGTAAAGCCAGAGCCCAATTTATAAGCTTTGCTCCCTTTCCCACTGACTTCAGTACCCCTAGAATTCCCTCTCATAGCATCCAGTCCCTACTTAGTGAGCTTTTAATCTATTTAAGCCAGTAAACACTTATTGGGCACACACAGTATGAGTCATTTTCAACCCCCTTTCCTCAAGTGTCTGGAATTCTGCCCTTGCCTCCTCCATGGGTCTGCTTCAGCCTAAGTGTATTGAGTGCTGGCTGTTTACTGGTCAGATCACTCCTCCCCCAGAAGCCTTTACCAAGTGACCTTTCTCTCTGTCCAGAGTCACTTAGTCATGCCACAGTACAAGTGTATTTCAAAATGTTCATGTTTATTTTGACAGAAAGGAAAACTCTTGAAATCCATGTGTAGTTTTCTTAAAATATACATCTTCCATGAATTTTCTGACAATCCCTCATACTTATATTTATTGCAATACCTTCCATGGGCCAGAGTGGGGGGGGCATTTATCAAGCAGTACTATATACCAGGAAGAACACCTACTCAGCTCCCTTTCCTTTTGATCCCACCAGCTGGCTTTTCTATACCTTTCCCCCCATTCAACCATGCGATCATTTAATAACCACTTATATACTACTGGGACCCCACATTCAATGCCTTTTCACCTCCTCCTCCCCTTATAGCATGAATTCCCCTTCACCAATCTCCCTCCTGCCTTTCACGTGACCCGTCTCTCACCCATTTAATAACCATCTCCTTAGCTGCCCCTTTCACCCGATTATTCATGAAAACACGTGTTGATCTATTAAGGTCTTATGTTCAAACAACCACATCCCCTGCCACAAGCTTCTTCCACTCCTGTCTCCATCTGTCTGTGAAGCATGTAGTGAGTACATGCCTTTGCCAACAGCCACTCATCGAGGTGATATTTTCCAGGTTAAATCTGCTCTGGTGAACTTAGCAAATTTGAAGACCCTACTGAATATTGATAATCACCCTCCTTTAGACTCCCCTTTTCCTCTCTGGCCTTCCCAGAAGGTTTTTTTTTCCCCCTGCACTTTTCCTTCATCTCATGAAGTGTTTATGAGGATCCTTCAGAAAGTTAATGGAAAAAATGTTGACATCCATGCATGTGAGAGTGCTTCAGAAAGCTCTTGGGAAATGGATGTTATGGAAAAACTCGGCATGGATTTCATAATTTTCTGCCCCCAAATAAAATTCTATTTGAACCGCGTTTCACACTCACTCCGGTTTGGTGAACTCTGGACATGTCTCATCTCCTTGCCATAATCTTAGCTCTAACGTTTTTCATTTTGTTCAAACCGGTCCAAAAAGCATTTACTGAGCACCTGTTGAATCCTGTGAAAGGTTTCCTTCCCCTTCTGCGTCCCAAAAGTCCACCTTTAATCCCAGGAACCCCTCTGGTGTTTTCTTGCAGTCCATCCAGTAGGTCATTATATCAGCGCCTGCCCTGTGTGAGGTGAGATAAACAAGGACGGGAGCCTGTGGATGCCAGGCCCCGGGTGGGCAGCTCACAGACACTCAGACACACAGGGATTTCAGCCTGGTGTAAAGAGGTCCCACCACAGGGTGCATACCTAAGTAGAATCAGACACTTTTCTCACCCAACTTCTCCACCCACCTTCCTTCCTGCATCTCGCTTCCTCCATAGTTTAAAGCTGTGCATTCAGAGTTGAGACTCATCACCCCCTTTTAGAAGTCATTTCATCTGTTTTTCAAATCACGAATCACTTGCTGGCTTGTCACGAGCATTTCATTTTCTTCATGGGGTGGTTGCAATGAAACTGGAAAACAACTGAGCCCATTGAACGTAGTAAGTATATGTATGTTAGTCTTCATAGACGGGAATAAAATCGAACAGTAAATATAAGACTGCACTGTGCATGACAAAGGCTGTTATTTATTGGAATGTTCATCCCAGTTGTGTATGCACACTACTATTATACTTTCTAGGTACATATGCATACCACATAATTATATTATATATGTGTTACATAAGGCCACACCCTATATTCTGTTATATTTGCCCTATAACATAATGTATCTTACATAATATACATTACATATGTGACATGGGGTTATTATGTAAGTATATATGTAGTAGATTACATAAACTGTTTCATACTGTGACTTCTTTTCTTACACTTCCCTGGAAGCAGACCTTCACCCTCAGCTAGTACTTCTATTGGTCTCAGTAGCTTATTTGATGGATGATCCATTCCTTCATCCTCAAGGGATCCCTAAGCCTTTAGTCCCCATTGCCTTCTCAAGCTGTGACAGCTGCACATGTCCATTTGCCATCAAAGCTGAGCAAGTTGTACCAACAGATGTTCACGGAGACCACTTGTGTGCCCCGCATCCTCCTCCCTTTGCCCACTGTGTAACAGCAGCGCTGTCTCCTCCTAATCAGCAGGGTCATGCTCCCCTGCCAAGATAGCAGCTACTCTTCACCTGGCATGAGAAATTTGACGTGCCCACCTGCAGCTTAATGGTATTCCTGCTCTGCCCCCTGGTAGCAGTGTTCCATCCTCCATCCCGCCAAGAGACCCGGACCTCTAGCCTTGTAGAACCCTGGGGGAACAGGGCGGGCAGGTTCCAAAAGTGGATCTTGATGATAAGCTGAGTCACTCCTCCTGAAGCCTGTGAATTCCCAGCCCTGTGTGTTCTGCCTGTTAGGGTTATGGTATGGACAGCACTTGTTGGGTTAGTATTTACCCTGTGTTAGAGGCAATGTCAATTTTTACATATTACCTCCAGGCTTGGTCTTAGCATGGCAGCAACAAATCATGATATTGTGTTAGGTTGGGTGTGCAGTTTTTGAGTGATATGGTACACAAGGCCACCGGTTGATCCCAAGATCACAAGCCGGCTTTTGTGTCTTCTTTGTTTTCCATTCCTTTGCCTTGTCGTAGAGTTTCTCCTTTAGTTTGATGAAATGTTAGGTGATATTCCATGTTGGTGGATCGAACACTGTGTAAGTCCTTGGACAGTGGCATTAGCTAAGGCTCTGCAGTCAGAAAAGGAAAAGTAGTCAAAAGTTTAGCCAAAAGAAATCACTTCCTCCATCCCCGTTTCCTGGGGTAGTCAGCTTGCCACAAAGTGCCTGGTTGGTCTTCTGGAGGAATGATGTCGTATCAGAGATTCAGTGCTAATCTCTGTGGCTGGCAGATTGGACATTCAGCGGCAATGCAGTTGACCCCAAATATAGCTTCTCTTTCTGCTGCTTTTGCCACTTCATTCATATGTCCATCTGCTAACACTGTGGCCAGCTGACATCATCTGGGTAGCTCATTGCCTCTACCTGGTTGCTTAATACCACTTGAAGTGCTGGTGGATGCTCTCTGGTGGGTATTAAGGCATGATAAAAAGAGTCCCCACTTTACATTTAGTCTTCTCCCATAGATCTACCCACAGTCTGTATCA